ACCACAGACACAGGACTAGCTTAGTCTGTGGACAGACTGTCCAGTTGTACAAACATTGCAGTTTTGGGACTTAAATGTCACATTAACCTTAAAGATCCAGTGCGACAGAAGCAGCAAATGATCTTGGCGAGTAAACTCAAGTCTGCGTCAAATGTGTGAAATTACACATTTCCTTCCGTTCAGTCATCTGCTCAGAAAATGCAGAAGATCCCTCTGACTGATAAGTCATAACTCTACGGGCACTTCAGCAAGATGGAAACACAGTGGAGGCACTAATATTAATCGTGACGGAGCCACGTGAAAAAATTCAGTAAAAAAAGTAAAGCTTGCCAAGATAAGGGAACGTGATGTTTGAAGTCGACTCAGGGCCTCATACAGGAAATAACATAGTTGAGTTGTTCTGCAGGTACTTCCTGTGCTAGATCTGATCATATGCATTCCTCTTTCTGATTTCTGCTCTTCTACTTTCTTCTAAAAAAGTGAATTTTAGCACATTTATACTTGCATATCTAAAAGTGCAGATGTGGAAATGAGGGGACTTTTGAATTAAACCTTCTAGGAATTGAAGGCTTCATCAAATTTCATACATCAGCTTGCAAAAAAATGCATAATTCGATGAAATGAGCTCTCCTACACTTCGCTTATCCTCCTGACGGGAAGCTTTTCCTGCAATCTGAGTGAGTTTCTTCTGGTACACACAGTGATGCATGTAATCATTAGTGCTATCAGAGTTAACATGCTAATAATGCATGAATGCAATAAATTATGAACGGCTTCATGTTGGCATGATAGAATCCACGATTACGGCCTTGTCGTTCGAATACAGCTTTAAAATGTCTTTTATGGCTCTTTCGGCAGACTATACTGGACAGCATGGGTGATGTGCGGATAAATCAGGGGTCGGCAACACGCGGCTCCGGAGCTGCATGCGGCTCTTTTACTGCGCTGTTGCGGCTCAACAGCAGAATTACATTTTGAGGTAAAAATAAAATAATCCTACTTTGCAGTGAAATAAAGCTCTGCTAATCGTTCAACACAGTTTTAACAATAAATGGTCTTAAACACTGGAGTTAATGTATAACTGCTAATTCACCCTTTAACCCTGAAGATCAGCGCAGACTGCTGGTCACCATAGCAACGCAGACAACATATTGCCTAGCTAGCAGCTAAAGAAACGGTAGAGAGATAGATTTAAGACGAACATCGATAATTTGGAGACAAATGGGCTTATTTGCATTTATAATCACAGCTGGTTTAATCTGCATCAAGAAACTGTCAAACACTAAAAAGTCGTGAAGCTGAATTCAGCTTCTCATTCACTGACTTCTTGTTCGGCTTTTCCCGTTCCACCTTAAATGGTGCAGCAGTTAAATCCATTTAAGGTGGAACAGGAAAATCTGAACAAGAAGCTGGAGAATGAGAAGCTGAATTCAGCCTCATAAAAAGTCAAACATTGAGAGAGATTCGACAAGAAACTATTTCGCTTTTGAGGAAAGGTTTCCTGCTGGAGATGTGAGAAAAGCAGCTATAACTGAGCTAAAGCTTAAAGCAGAGCAAAATAAGTCTTCGTTTTTGTTTATATTATATTTCTTAGCCTATACTAGTACATTAGCACTTACTGAGACATATTTACAGCCAAGATGGTAAAATGGACCTAAAATGTTGTGGCTCCCAAGTTGGTTTGATTTTTGTTGAAAGGACAAAAGTGCTCTTCTTAACATTTGGTTTGCAGACCGCTGGGATAAATTAACAAGCAGCAAACTAACTAAAGCAACAGCAACGTGAAAAGCATTGATTCCCTTCTGGAGCCTCCACTGTAGCAAGAATCTGTGAGCTGTATGAATGAGAACTGAGTTGAAGCTTTGACTGTGCATATGATGTATATGATGTGCATATGTATTCACAATCGGTGATGAAAACTGAGAGTTTACTGGGTGTTTTCATTAACCTGGCGTTCACACAATGAAAATAATGTGTAATGTAATAAATGCGTTCCAATGAGGCTCATTTTGTCCACTCATATAGCCAGAACAACATGCACTGCTTTTTAAACGGGAATGAAATCTTTCTTCAGGGTTAGATTTGAGCATATTTAGAGAGAGATTAATCACGAGTAGTTACACTAAGTAATTTTGAAGTTTGACTATCTATGTGTGCCAAAATAATACACAAAATCTCGAGTCATTTGTATTATATATGTAATAATCATTGCTACAAGATAACACTCATTATCTCCTTCTGCAGCCTTATGGACAGTCTGGCTTGCACTGTTCAGATTCCCACACACACATGCAATCTCCACTGGCTGACTTATCACTTCCCAGTGATGACCATTTCAGAGGCTCACTTCAACATTTCCTCAAGTGTTGCAAGCGTTAAGCAATGGCCGAGCAAAGTGAAACAGCATCTAAAGAGAACAGAGAACAAGCAGATGAAGATAGACGCTGACTGGGCGCTGAGAAATGGCCAGATTATTCAAATTCAATTCAAAATAAATGAATAAATAAATAAATAAATAAATTAATTAAAAAACACTATTGTACACTACATGCAATAAAAAAACATCTGTTTGGCTACAACTGCTACAACTTCTGCACTTAAATCTGGGCAAAATTTCACATTTTGAATTGATAAACATGTTTAATGAATTCTGAGTGAGTGAGTTTTTTAATTATATAGAAGTAAAAGGACGAGCCGCAGTTCATACAGAGGGCGCAAAATGTACCATAAGCTTCACTTAACCTTAAACCCAAAGTGAAAAGTGAAAAATGAAAAATGAATGCTTTTTTGCAGGTGGGTTCTTGAGCAACTGACAAGAAAGCTCTAGAACGTTACTTAAGAAGTGAATTAGATAAAATGCGCCCAAAATTTCTCGTAATTCTGAACTTCGCCCATACTCATAACCCCTTTGGCACAAAGAATCATGCACCGCTTTAGACCTTTGTGAGCCTAAATATGCATGAATGTTGCCATCTGCATAAGCCAAGACGAGAAAAAGTGAAAGAACGAATGCAAAAAGAAGCCAGGCCCGACTGTTAAACCTCTTCCTGTGTGGTTTACACCACGTGGTCGAAAGAGGGTTAAAAAGGAGCGTTTCTCCTCTCCCAGGTCCATTTCTACTTTGGCTGAAGAGCAAGAAGACACTGAAGACTCTGGTAAGACCACCGGACGGGAACATCTCAAAAAAGGGAAAATTCGCTTTAACTTTAAGCGGTATGGACTTAACCGACCGGGAAAATTAAAAAGGCTAAAAGGTTTAAGTTAACGTTATTTATTGAAAATGTGGCTAACTTTATGCAAATATGTGCATTTTAAATGTGCTTTAGTATGCAAATATTGTTCAATTTAACGTTTTAATTATTCACTTATTGACTTTAAATGCGATTTTGTTTGCAACGTTTTATTACTTTATGTATAAGTTAAAAAAAGTTATTGTTTTTTTACGCTCGTACAAAAATCTGTTCTTTAAAAATTATTTTTTTTCTTATGTAAGGAAATGTGTTCATTTGTGCTCACTAAACCGTATTTCTGACAAGTTTATTTAACATAAAACGCTAGCCACTTCCTGTTCAACTCGCAATGCAAAGCGCTAAATCTATGGCACAATTTTTTTTTTCTGAAGTCAGTGTGCATCTATACTTATTTAAAAGTAACCTGTAGAATAAATAAATAATTTACATGTATAAAAATATACGTGTATGTATATATATATATATATATATATATATTTATTATTTATATATTATATTTTATATATATATATATATATATATAAACTTGTACCGAGTTGGCAGAAACAGCTTACTCATGCCAATCAAGATGGCTGCCAAGCGAACATGGTATGGCGTTAAAGGAAGAAGTACTTATATTAGAACAGTGGTTCTCAAAGTGGTCCTCAGGGACCCCCAGATGGTCCACATTTTCGTTTGGTACTAACTTCGAAAACAAAGGGACAGAGCAAAAAATATGGACCGCCTTGGGGGGTCCTCGAGGACCAAAAAGAGAACCGCTACAACTGAAACAAATGTATTTTTAGAAGAATGAAGTTTGTGTTTGGTTTTGGCTTCAGCATTTTTCATATAATATGACGTCAACATGCTCAAGTGTACTTTCTTTTGACGAAGATTGTTGTGAGGAATTTTTTTTGCCGCACTTTGTTTAGACTGACTTGCTATTGTCCTAAACGGAAGTTTGAAAAACTGTCCAATCCAGTTGATGCGGTAGTGAAACAGCGGACAGCCCTGTTTAAAACCTCTGACATTGTTCATGAAGTGTTCACTCAGCAGTGACAATGACGAGAGTAACAGTTTTAACTGCATGAAGCGTTTGGGTGTGGTTGACATGGGCAGCTGTAAACTGTGCAGAAATGGGGGCGGAAGAGTGTTTTGTGTGTATGTGTGTGTGTGTGTGAGAGAGAGAGAGAGGGGGAGGGGGGGTCTTAACCACTAACTCTACAGGTGTGTCTTTGAAGCAGCAAACCGGGGACCTGGAGACGGCACGTTGGAAGTACAGTGCAGTCATCCATAAAGTAGAAAGCACTACTAAACCCCTCGCCACAGTGTAGTGTTTCCTACTTTATGGATGAGTGTACTGTTGGCTACTGGGAACTCTCAAAGCAAGAAAGCGACCCAACATGGAGGACATGAGGAAAGAGAAAAGAGGAACTGGCTTTGTTTCATAAGGCTGTGCACAGCTCACTGTGTTAATATGAGCCCACATGAGCTGCCTGCACACGAAACAAAGCCAAGAGGCTGAAAAACTGCTAACTTTGCTTCTTGATTGTTGTTTATACTGCTAAACACTTCAGGAGTGTCATTGTGTGTAATGTTCACTCCATTTCATGAATGAAAATAAAAAAAAAAACTAAAAAGGATCTAAAGTGTTGTGTCTGTTGAATTTTACTTGTATCCTTACACAGTGTTTGCACTATATGGGTTTTGAAGGATTTGGACAAATGAGCTTAAGAGCTCAATGAGCTAAATCACCAAACAGTAGTGAGATTTTATGTGAAAATATATTTTATTTCTGTAAAAAGGTCCATAGCAAATGACAATGGCCCCTTAATGAGCAATAGTGACGTTACTAGTCATTGATCAAAAACATTGCTTCAACATGCCAAAAAAAAAGAAAAAAGAAATGAAATATTTGAAAAATGTTCACAAAAAAAAAAACACATATTTACAGACGAGTTTCAAAAAAGTGGTTACAAAACCCCTCAGATTTACAAAAAAACGCTTCAGTTCTCCACGGGATGCTTAACAGAAGTTAGCATGGACCACAAGAATAAAGCCTCTCTCGCTGTATGAAAATATCATACGTCAAAATCACTGACCCCAGCTCTGTACATTATACACACACCCACTTTCAGCATACTTCAAACTCGGCCTTTGCTGTGTCCAGTAAGCCCAAAAAAAAAAACTACAAATACGTTGTAAAAGCAAAAAGAACAGCAAAGTACTATAAATACATAAATAGATTCATAAATAAGGCCGAATACAGGTGTAACACCGTCATGCATGCAGTCAATAGAAGTACAGCGTAAGTAAACATTGAAGTAAGACTAGACGAGGTCTTGTAAGGCTAATTAGTTACTGTGGCCTAACGTACTCCTACTAGCAGAGTCCGTTTCAGAAGCTAGCATACAGCACAGTGACCGGGCCTGTGCGTTCCTTAGCAGTTTTCAGTAGCAGGGTTAACAGCAGGCTTTCAGAGTATATAGTGCAGCTTGGGGAGCATCGCTAGCCTAAAAAATCAGAGCGAGTTACATACAGGCTACAGAGTAAGAGAGAGAGAGAGAGAGAGGTTGACTGTACAATGTAGTGCCTTCAGTTTAAATTCATCAAGGCTGCTGTCATTAAAAGATACATGTTAATACAGTCATTGAAACAACGTCCGGTGTTTGGAGGGGACCCAAGTGATTGAATGAAATGGAGTCGCACCTGCTTTGACTCCGCCCCCAATTGGCTGGTGTTCGACTACTGGTCTCTGAGTGGTCAGCTTGCAGAGCACCTAAGGGTTTGGCAAAGAGTGTGAAACTAGACTGCTTTTAAACACATGAAGCTGATCAGCTACACTGTAAAACTGTTGCTGTTTGAACTAACAGTTAGTAACTTGGCTGACTTGAATTCACTGAACTTCTTACAGTTAACAGAACAATATGAATGTGTTAGCTTATCTGAAGTTCAGTGAAATCTCATTTTTAAGGCAGCTAAGTTACTCACCTTTACGTGAAAGGGGGATTCTGACGTGAACTGATTCATTCTAGAAAACGTACCAGCTCAGAGTTCTTTAGAATGGTGATGAAAGGAACCAGGGACTGCAAAGCCTTCAACAACAAATATGAGTTTAATTTGCTTTCCAGAAGTGTTTTTATGTAATGTTGATGATGGTAAAATAGGTGTAAATCTAAAAAAAACCACTTTTTTGCCTCACATCACCCTGCATGCGCCTCTCCAGCATGAACAGATTGAAAACCCCATTGTAGGCCACATCATCTCTCACAACTATTATAAAACAATGTCTCAGGGTTTCAGTGAGGTAGCTTTTACATCACAGTGGTCAGTAACCCCACTCATGGAAGTCTACTGCCACACTTGCTCCAGCCAATAAACTTCTTCAGTAGCCCCTGACTGGCAGATGTATGAGTGTTAAGGAAAGGGAGGCAACATGTTGGATGCATATTGGACCTAAAGTCTGGAGTAAGGTCCAGGAGCAGGGTTGGTGACCACTGTTTTAGGGCCATTCAACGATTCAGCCGTCTGGTTCCTATCACCACCACTGTGAACAGCTCTGAACTCTGAATAACCGTTTACATCTTCTAATTTACTTCTAATTTAACTATGCAGACATTTTGCATTGGAATCCCCCTTTAACACATGAAACCTTTTTACAGTGCAGCAGTTAAACCTGAGAAATGATTTCATGGCCCCTATAAGGACACCTAGAGACCATATGTACACAAAACAAAAACAGACCATATGCATCTGATGTGGTCAGTCACCAAAAGCAACTGTACAAACAAACAAACAAAAAAAGTACTGCATATCAGACTGTGAGAACATGAGTGTGAGAGTGGTTTTTTTACCCGTCTGTGGTACAGATGCAACGCTCCAAAAATGGAGGACAATAACTTTGCACATGCTGAAAAATGGAACCCTCCCTCTGTACCACACAGAGTTGAACCTAACATGTTTCTTTCAGTTCAGCTACACACGTGTTACTGGAGTTCCGTCTGAGTGACTGAGAAAGGCAAAGGCAGCCAAAACACTGCTCCAAACAGACGGCCTTCAGAGGGAACCTGCTCTAAAGCTCATCCTTTACATACACTGAAAAACATCTTACCTCAGAACACAGATTCTAACTACTGTCCGACTTACGGATGCTTTTCGAACGTGTTGAGATACTGTTGACAAGCCGGGATGGAATGGAGTTACATAAACCCAAATTAGGGATGCAAACTTTGGCAATTTCTTTTGACTAATAAATGAGGGCCGTTAGTCGAAGATTAAGTGTTAACCGGCAAGCCTAAAATCAAGGAAGCCACCTTTGAAGCCATTGTAAAATACTGAAACATACCGAGATATCAAAAAGTGCTCCTTGTATGAACTGTGGGGGGCGCAGATCAGGTCAGGCATCAGCGTGTATATCAAGTAAACAGCCCAAATTGTGTTACAGGGCCCAGATCCTACATTTTTCTTGTGTTGTACACTTTACTTTGAGGTCTACTTATGATGCCTGTGTGGCTTTACATGCCAAAATTAATTTTTTCCATTCCTTTTCCAACACTTCAAATAAAACAGGCTGTTAGCATGCCTTTAGGACATAAAACAATGTAAATTAGCTCTGCTCTGATTGGCCACCCTGTGATGAAACACTCTTTAGAACTTCTTGCATGTAAATGTGTCTGTTTTCGTGACATCCCAATAACACCGTATTGAAAACAGGTTGTTTTTGCAGCTTACTTCCTACATGTGGTCTGTATGGAATGGTACGTTTCAAAAGTCTTCTATTTCAAAAAAGCAAGGGAAACTTCAATTCCACTACATGGGCCTTTTAAATATACTCTACATAAGAATGCAGGTTAGTTTTAACTATAATATGTTCATGTTTATATGAACAAAAGCTAAAAGCTGATAAAGTGACTTGAATATATAACGAGGGGCTAGTTTGATAATGTACTGTACGGCAGTGTTCACAAGGCTACATGACACCTACACAGCTTCACAACAACTAACACAGGCCTACACAATAAAGCCATAAGCCACAGGAGGCCATGCATTACGGTGATTTTATCACAGGTAATTATCAGGTGATTAGTCTTGAGCCAGTTGAAGCAAAATCCCTGTTGCCTGTGATAACAAAAAGTCATCTCTGATTCAGCCACATACTTGCTGCACAAACAGTGCACTATTTGGGTGTAGAAGTGAGAAGCACGCTATTTAGCCTAGGTTTGACAGCTCTGACTAAACCTCACAAATTTGAAGAACATAAGTACTTTAATTTAAAGCCTGGTGGAGCTGTTTAGTTCAAGTTAAGACAATACGTCCTCAGCCCCTCAGTTTAAGCAAAACCGTGTTCTTACTTCAACTATACACTCATCCATGCAAGCAGCAATACAGTCAACAGTCATAAAGCACAAGGATTTTTCATGATCTGGTGCAGGAACAAAGAACTGAATTGTTGGGAGGCGGTCACAGGTGTGCATATATCGAGTATTTTATGACATATTTAAACACGGCTCAGCCAATCAGTTTTTAGAACTGTAGCTATCTGTTTTAAAAACCTTTATAAATACTCATTCCAATAGGCATCGTTTGTCATAAAGGTTGCATCTGCCAGTTTTAATTACAAGTAAAAGTAGCATCTATGTCAGGTGTGTCTGGCGATGTTTTTCTGACATTAGGTTGTGTTATGACACTCAGAGGTGAAATGACAGACATTGCAGCTCAATGTATGTCACAGTCACATTATGCTAATAATATGACACGGCTTGCCAAGCCAGGCTGCTAGAACAAGAGAGCGTTTTCTCTGGTGAGTGCCTTTTCACCATTTCATAAGAGTTAAGCTGTGTCATCATCAGCATTATGTCACTGTGAAATAGTGAAATACACTAAGCTACAAAGTCTTGGTAAAATGTGCTGTGTCATTTCACCAAAAAAAAAGAAAAAAAAAAGAATCATGGCACAAACCAGTGTCAAAAAAAGAACCTCACCTAATGTAGGTTCTAGATCAACTTGACAGTTTTTTAAAAAGTTCATGTAGGTTTAAATCAACTGTCATGACAGGCTTATGTAGGTGTCATGTAGCCTTATGAACATGATCTACAGTAAAGTGTTTCCACAAATTCTATATTCTCATAACTAGCCCAAGTTAAAATGAACTTAAATGCCATGAGGGGGGGCTTGCTTAGGCTCAATGTACTTCTGTGTCTTTGGGAAACTGTCTGCGTCCACCATGTCCTTCTCTATCATTCTGCACACCCACTTTCTCTTGGAAAACATGGATAAAGTAGTTGTCAGTCTTGTAGCTTGTGGATGTCTGTTTTCGATGTGGCACATCATTGTAGTTGCCCTATCACCCTCTCGAATGGTGGGCTTGAATACCACTATTGCTAAGTGCATGCTGCATTCTTTAGTAGGCCCATCTAGTGGAAATAACCGCTTACTGTGCTGTCAAGCACTTCAGAAATGTCCCCATTCAGACAGGCACGCTTGTTTATTGGAAATGAGTCAAATTAACACGTTAAACTAACAGCATTTGTCAAACAACTGTTCATTGGTCGGTTAACGTTTAATTGGTTAAATGTTTTTATCCCTAACCCACATATAGTCTTCACATACAGTAGGATTTAAACTTATTCCTTTAACCTTTCAACCTGCTGCCTCTGTATTACTGTAATACAGGCCACTGAGTAGCTGCTTCAGCACCTGCCCTCTGGCTTCAAGTTCTAAATATACTGGTCTTCCTCTTAAGCACAGGGATGTTATTGTCTGAATGCTACAAATGCAGCAGAAAGAGATTCGGCTGAAAAAAGCTGGAGTACCCCTTTCATTTTATTGTTGAGAGAGGGACGTGTTGGCCGAAAGCTCAGAAAAACCACTTCCACCTTAAGAGAACTAAACTGACCATGATTCAACTCAACTGAATAGAACACTAACGACAGGAGTCTTATTATTGTGCCTGACTCCTGCTCAAATTCTCAAAACAACAGTTTTCTTTCAATGCATTTCAAAGGAATGGTGTGCTGAAAAATCTAATTTACACAGTTTTCCACTCAACCTAGACGCAGTCGATCAGCTGAGACATGTCTACGAATTTTGCTTCTTTGTTTTAAAACAGGAGCTAAAGGCCTAACGCTGATAAACACTACAATTCAATAGTCACCCAAATCTTTTCCATAAATACATCTCCAACACCTCTCTCAACCCTGTGCAACCCTTCACATCCAGGCCCTCATTAAGTTTTCACAGACTAAATGTAGTTTAGGACAGTATGACAAAACTTCAGTGTGCAGCTGCATGCTGTAGTCAGCCATTTTAGACAACAGGGGTGCTGCGCTGAAACCCGCCTCCCCTTTGTGTGTACCCACATGGACTATGGAGTTTGCTCTGTTGTTTCTATTTACAAAAGACTGTTGATCTTAAATTTTCAAATATATGTTTATAAATAGTAACAGCTGTTTATGGTAGCAACAGCTGTTGTCTAAAATGGCTGCCTACAGTGTTCGGTTAACTGGTTTTGTTCATTTATGGTTCAAAGCAAGTCATACTGTGTCCTAAACCACATCCACAAGTCTGTGTGACGATGCGTAATGAAGATGATGCAGTTTGAGCTGGTTAAGACAAGTTTCAGGGATGTGTTTACAGAAAAGATTTGGGTGACTAATGACTTCTAGTGCTTGTTAGCTACATTAGCTCTGTCTTGCAGCTCTGGCGCTAAACTAAAAAAGCCAAATTTAGACACCTAAAATGTCTTGGTTAATAACTACACTTGGGGTAAGAGGAAAACTGTGTTTGTTTGATTTGTGGATGAAGCATTTCTTTAGCCATTTGGTCTCAAAAGTCTTACATGCTTTTGAAGGAAAGTAAAGTGGCAAGCAGAGACAAAATCAATCAAATAAAAAAAATAAAAAAAATCATCAGTCGAGGAGAGTGACATCTCCCCCCACAGTAGGACAATGTGCCTCTACCCCCTCCAATCACCCACACGAACCATCGAAACAACATACAGACAAACCAGCATCGACATGAAAAAGTGCAATTAGCAAATTATTCAAGATAACAGTCTTTCACATTTATTCCTTCTTACTGGAGCCCAACTTCTTGAACAGCTTCTTGCCTTTGGAGAAGAAGCCTTTTTTCTTCTTCTCTGGTAGGGAGGTCTCGGTGAGAGAGGAGTTTTCCATAGGCTGTAAAGGGGGGGCTGGGGGGGCTAAGACTGGGGAGGGGTCGGAGTTTGTGTCTTGGTGCTGGTCAGGGTGCTGGATTGGTTCCGACAGGGCTGCTGGACTCTCTTCTGGGGGAACGGATATTACAGCATCTGTCTGCTCTAAAACGGCAGCGTGGCTCACCTTTAGAATAGAGAGACAAGCACATACGTCACTACAGTAGAGAAAATGTAGAGAGACTCACCATAGAAAGAAAAAACAAACAAAACATTTACCCCAACTTATGCAAAATGTAGTCAATCAGCCAAGGCTGTTATCTATAAAAACAAAAGTATGTCGCATAGCTAAAAACACAACAGCAGTCATTTTGAAGTCTGAATTTGATCTGTACTTTTATTGTTTTTGTAGACAATAGTAAGTCATACAGTATCAGAAACCACTTGAAAACTACTTGATGAGGGGAATTCAACCGATTTTTCTAAATCTCTGCGTAATTCAGTCGTTGAAATGTAAACAAAGTCATTCAAAGTGGTTTGACGTGAAGTGATTCATTGTCGAGAAACTTAGCGCCTCAGATTTCTTTACAGTGGTGGTGATAGAAACCAGAGGTCATAATGTGTACAAAACAAATACACCAAAACCACCAGTGAACCTATATGTGTCTCCTGAGTTTTTACATGCAAATATATGTTTAGAATAAATAAGTTTCTTTTAGGAAAACTTTCTTTGCCTTACAAGACTTTACATGTACCTCCCCACTCCAAATAGATTCTAAAAACACATTTTAGGTCAAATCCTTCTCAAGAAACTATAATAAATCAATATATCAGACATCAGGCAGTGTTTTCATAACCACTTCATGTAATAACTTTTTGTGAGGGAGCTTTTTAAACTCTATGGATGTCTGGTTCCTATAACCACCACTGTGAACAATTCTGACTCATGCAGTTCCTCTAGAATGGAGCATTTCACGTCAAACCACTCTGAAAGACTTTGTTTACATCTTACAGATCTGATAATGCAGAAATTTTGAAAAATCTGTGGAATTCCCCCTTTAAAGGGGAATTCCACCAGTTTTTGGAAATGAAATCGATGTCTTACAGAAAGTTATTACATGAAATAGTTATGAATATGCTGTCTGATGCCTTACATGTTCTGTGATTGTTTTGAGATAAGATTTTGGCCTTAAACATACTTCCAAAATATACTGATGGAGAGGTAAAGAAAGTTTTAAAAAATAGTTAAAAAAACTACAAAAGTGAAAAAAATAGATAATGTGCAGGTTTACTTGTCATTTTAAATGGTACAAAAAAAATATATGTATATTTGCATTTGCAGACACTGAGACACTGATTCCTGGTTCCTATCACCACCACTGGAAAGAAATCTGAGCCTGTGGGTTTCTCTACAATGAACCATTTCACATCAAACCACTCTGAACAACTTCGCTTACATCTAAATAAGTGAATCGTGCAGAAATTGTGTGATTTAAGGCAAGCATGGGATGATTTAGGCATGTAGATAGCATAGGCTAATAGTTGGGTTACTATTTTCCATTACTTGTTGGCCAAATTAAAGAAGCAAGCAAACTTCAGACACCAAACACGTGGTGGTAGATTGACTACATTTGCTGTGAGGGGATTTTTCACTCATGTATTGCTTTAAATGTGAGGGAAGTGAAGCAGGGAAGCAGTTATTACAGGTCAAATGGTGCTTAAGAATGTTCTGGTAAACACCTCAAACACAATATGGATAGTAATATATACATGGAGGTGGATCTAATGTCTTCCTTCAAACCACACCAAGTCAAGGAGAAAGGGAGCATGTTAAAGAGGGTCCTCTGCTAGGAACTGAGGGGTCTGGGACAGGTTCAAGCTTTCTGTGTGGGGGACAAAGCAATATAGAGGGATCATCAGCAGAACACTTACTCTTACTGTTTAAAGTGCACCCCTCTCCTGTGCCTCTGCATCCCACCATGCAGGAACAAACGCACACAAACGTAAAGAAATAAGCCATGCAAAACAAACAAGGACATGCAGAACAAAGGAGATCTGAAGAACAGTGTAGAAGTCTTAGAAGGTGTGAATTGGAGACAGGCATGCTATGTGTGCCATTTAGTTAATGTTTATAATACGCTTCCATTGTTGTGTGGTTATAAACAGTTTTATGAAGCCACACATAAAATCACACATTCAGATGTGCTGCTTACTAAAAACTCCGGTGATACACCGACATACACCTACCTGAGAGTCTCTCCGGCTTTTGGCCACAGGGGGTTCAGCCACTGTTGCCTCCTCCGCTGTCTCTGGAAAAGCCTGGAGGAAGTTGGAGGGCACCAGGCCTTTCTGCCCATTCAAATCTCCCTAAGGCGGTCAAAAACAACATACGCCATCATGCATTTCTTTGTTTACAGGTTGTCATATGTTACTCTGGTATATCATACTGTACAAGCTTCATTGCCAAAAAAATTGGAAAAGTATGAAAACAATTACAGAAAACTTCAAATTACAGATTTTTGGAAATATTCGCTTATTCTGAAATTGGACCAAAGAAGAAAACGAATATCCAAATTGTTGCGAGTGTAAAGTTCAAAAGCCAGGCTCTGTCAATGTATGATCATGTACTAGCATTATTCTGTATATGTTACAATGGCACGGCTGCGTAATCAGAGTGGGGGTGCTAGACAGGCTTGCCTGCAGTCCGGACCCGTTTCCCACTGAAAACGTGTGGTGCATTATGAAGCACAGTTGAGGACTTGCATAATGGAAGAATGGCAAAAAAATACTTTCAAAACTAAATCAACTGATGTCTTCAGTCTCCAGACGATTATTAACAGGGACCATTACTGCCATTGTTGGACTGTGATGATGTCATGCGGTTGCTCTAGTCTCAGTCCTACTGAAAATAAGACAATTAAAAACTGTTCTCTTCCTGTGGTAAAGTCACGCTGTAGCTAAAGCTGCAATGGCTGAATGATGTATTTGAGTTCATTTAGATACGTAGCTCACTGTTCGTTTCTCAGTGGACAAGAGACAGAACAACCAAGCTCTGCACAATGGCAACCTACTAGTCAAGGGATTTTGTCTATTTTTTACAAATAAATAAAGTGTTTAGCTTGGTTTACACAACATATTTTAACAGCACTCAATATGTGTATTACATCATTGCTTACGTCTCCTAAGTGTTAGTGTTCCCCTTGAGTATTATTGAAATGAAAGGTGATGTAACAAATGGTAAAAATGCTCCTGTCCCAACATTTTTTTTGGATCACAGACATTAAATTTGCAGTGTATATTTACGCACAATAAAAAATCACAGTTCATCATTTTTTTGTATATTTTAAATAGGTCAAATAGAATTTAATAATTATTGCTTTATGTCTGTATTAGCATTTCACAAACTGTGCTAACATTTTTTGTAACTGATGCTTGTGATTCAGTTTCATAAAAGGTAACGTGTATCATCACAACAGTGAAACAAACAGCTGTGGTAACCAATGCTGTGTTCAGTATACTAAGAAAAAGTATTAGTAGTATGTAATGGTATAACTGTTTTAAATGCATAACTAGGGCAATATGACAATATTAATCGTTATTATCATAAATGACCAATCAATGTAATGTAATATGTTGCAATATGCTTTTCTAAGCATATTGTGGACATTGTCAGTACTTAAAACCACTTGTTTGATTAAAAAAGAGAGCCTAATTAATCCTGTTTAACTGGATTTAGTGTAGTATTGTATGGGAATTGTTAAATAAAATCATTGGTGGGGGGAGATTTATACCCCTCTAGCTGATGCTTGGCACAGGACATGGTGACTTTACATTCACAAATGGCTGCTCTAGAGTATCCTATTCTATTAGCAATTCATTACTATGGAGATCATACAGGCTATGTGTGCCCAGTTGAACACCTCTGTCAGGAACTAGTGCACCTTAAAGCAGCTGAATTCACTAAGACAAGGTGTCTGGATACTTTTGGACACATAGTGTGGCTGAGAGTTGGCAGTTTGAAGGCTTCAGTAAGGAAAGATAAGGGACAAAACCAGTCTACACCTGATTACTCACGTAAAAGAAGCCATCATCATCCATATCTCCAAATACATAGATTATGTCCCCAGCACTGAAGGTCAGCTCAGCCTGTAGGGGGTGACAGAGAGAACATCAGTATGATTATGTGGCTCCACACATCCAGCTGAATCTGCATTTGCCGTCCCAGTGTCTCATAGATATATATATAGCCTATATGCAGTACTGTGCAGAAGTAAGAGACTTTCAGTCATTTATATAATGTCCTATCAAAAAGCTTTTTCATTCTTTTCAGGAGACTCACTTTCAGTTTTTCAAAGAAACCTGCAGGGATATTTTTCCACACTTCCAAAGTTCAGTCTTAGATGTTGGTTGTATTTTCTGCTTCTTACAATCCAAGTAATCCCAAACACATTCAGTGATGTTGAGGTCTGGACCATTGTTTTGTCCATTGTTTTGAGAACACCAGCAGCTTCTTTTGTTTTACCTGCAAATTTTCTTCTTTCTTTCTATTTCCTTTCCTAAATAAGGGTTTCTTTCTTGGCAGCTACACATAATTTCAGACCCATAGCACCGAGTTGTCTTCTCACAGTGGAAGGATGGACAGAAACACCTATGGAATTTTTCCCATCTAAAGAGTGGAGACTGATTTTCTCCTCTGTTTCAAAGACGAAAGTACTGTTTATCTGATAGGGACAGTTTGGGTGGTCCAACAGGTCTTGCACGAGCTGTCAGGAGTCCCATTTTCTCTCCATCTTTTAATCATTTCTTGTACTCCAGTTTTGTCAACTTCTGTTTATTTTCCTTGGACATTACCTTCCTTATGAAAGTGGGTTATCTTACATCTAATCTCATCAGAAATACCTTCTGTAAAATTCATAACTTGTACTTAATGGCCTGAGTGGAAATTAAATAAATGAAGGGTGGTCTTTGATTTTTACTGTATATGTGTCTGAATATGGTGTAAGGTCACCTCAATGTCAGCATTGGGGGAGCTTTCTCTTGGGTCATAATCAAAGATGGCCACCATCCTGCGTGGTCCAGGGTTTCCCATGGCAACAGCAGAGTGTCTAGTGTTATCTGTTAATCAAACAAATAGCAATGTAATCAGGTTTGTATGGACACAGTGGATATGTTTCTGCCTTTCGTCACTCATACTATTAGCGTGACCAGACATTATGAACAGTTCCAGACAGCAAGCGGTCAACCTACAGGATAAAAAAACAATCTGACACATACAGCACAGGGTATGATGGCAAAATTTCCGTTGTTCAGTCGTAATTACAACACAGAAAAAAGAAACATAGCAAAAATCACATGCAATCTCCAGAACGTAATAAAATAACATGCAAGTTAAAAAGTTAAAAAGAACCTTTAAATTAATGAATAAATTAATGTATCAACAAACAAATAAAATGAAAAAAACATGAGCAGTTAGAACAGAGATGACTGGAAGGTGAGTAAATTGAGAAGGTTATCATGGCAGCACCTGATACTCATCTGAGCACCATGCAGTTCTTAGGTTAGCAATATCAGCCTCAGGAAACACATTAACTTTGGACATATGCTTGTAGATTAGGCATGCACACACAGGTCATGCAGTCAATCTGCTCCACAAGCACTTTAGATGAAGCTCCTTGGCTGCTCTTTCATGCTCTGAAGTGAGGAATGGTAACTGTAGGCCAGGGCCCGACCAATATGAACACTTTGTTACAGTTATCAATACCAAATAACAGATATCGAATTCCACCCATTTTTCAAAATTTCAGTGCAATTCAAACATTGAGATGTAAACAAAGTCATTCAGAGTGGTTTATTGTGAAATAGTTCATTGTAGAGAACCTTAGTCATTTTGATTTCTTTACAGTGGTAGTGATAGGAACCAGGGGTTGTGATGCTTATAATGCAAATATAGCCATTTTATTTACTACCCAAAACAAGCAGTCAATCTACACATGTCTTCTGAGTTTTTATTTGTAATGTTGATGATAGTAAAATCGTGGTAAATCCAGTGAAATTATATTTGGGTATAATTATGCTCTGGGTACTGCTTTGCCTTATATCTCTCCACCAATTTTAAAAATACGTTTTAGGCCAAAATTGTGTCTCAAAACTATTGCAAAACGTGGCTCCCGAGTGGCGCAACTGTCTAAGCGTCAACATCACTTCCTATCACAAGTTCGATCCCTGGTGATGCTACAGCCATCCGTGGCTGGGAGGGAGTCAAAGAGAGCATAACTGGCTCTCTCTGGGTAGGCAGTATGCCCCCCTCAGTCTCCCCCCCATCCCCCAGCGTGATGCCAGCCAGCGCAGGATTCTGTTAGCTGATGTAACAGAACTGGCGGTTGGCACTTTCAGCTGTCCAACGACGTAACATTAGCGGCAGTTTAACAAGATGCAGTGGCTCGCTTCACTTGACTCGGAGGAAGCCTGTGCTAGCTTTTGCTCTCCTAGCGCTGGTGGTATTGTGTGACTGGGGGAGTCCTAACTGGTGGGGGTAATTGGATACGTCTAAATTAGGAAAAGCTTGGGGGAAAAAAAAAAAACTACTGCAACACTAAGTCTCAGGCCTCAGGCAATGTATTCGCAACCATTTCATATAATGGTAGGTTTTTAAAAGTATTAAAACTCTTCAGCTGTCTGGTTCCCACCACCACCGCTGTGAACAATTCTAAATGGAGCATTTCACATCAAGCCACTCTAAGTGTCTTTGTTTACATATTTTTCATTTGAGCAGGTATTTTTTTAAAAGTGGAATTCCACTGTTGGAGCCAAAAACAAGGCTTCAGGTAATAGATTAATGCTAGTGCTAACATAATTTGATATTTAAACATGTAATTAAAATAAAACCCTAAACTGTGCTTTACTGACTGATATTACTGTCAGCTTTTTTACTGTCAAAAGCCAAATACCTCAATTGTTCAACTCAAACAAACAGCTGAAACTCAAAGTCTTAAATAGCTGACAGTGTTAAATACCAATTTGATCGCCTATTTGATATATCGGTCAGGCCCTACTGAAGACAGATGCACAGCTGGGAAGAGGTGGGTGCAAACCTTGGCTGCAGGAATCAATGATGGACTGATCCTCAAAGACTCCTGCTGTCTCCACTGTTAGAGAGGGAGAAATGGAGAGTTAGGGTGAGAGTGTCTGGTTCCTCCATGGTGTCGACTCAAAGGAGGAGGGGGTTAAGATTCACAGGGTAAACAGACAAATCACCTCAAACTCCAACATATGGTTAAAATGGGCACTAATGCATCTAGAAAACACACACTCAAACACACAAACACACACAGACATACACATACCGTCAGTCACACACACAACATTTGAATAGCAGGATGACCTAGATTAGACCAGAGGGGATTCTGGGATAGGTCACGCTATTGCAGTGAAATGCATTAATGCTTACTAATCAAGTTTAGGCATTATAATTGATTGCAAAGTTGATGTTTACTTAAATCAAGGGTGCCCAGTTCTAGTATTGGAGATGTACCACCCTGTAGAGCTCAGATTCAACACACCTGGCTCTAATATTCAGGTGCACCTGGATCAGGTGTGTTGGATTATGGGTGGAACTAAACTCTCCGACACACAGTACAGGGCTGTCCGCTCAGTCTTTCTTGGTCAGCTAAGATTCTGGCAGTCCGCTGACTGTATTTATGAGCCTTCAAAGCTAATTTACTAATAATGCAATAAATTTTTTGTAACAATGTTAATGCATTTTTAGTTTGACCCTTCAAAGCATCTGTAGTAGTGCAGGCTGAAACTCAACTGCTTGTACAGCTTGTGGATTCTTGTTACAGTGGAGGCTCTCGAGGGTCTTCTGTGAGCACTGTCCAGCATAGTCTACTGAAGGTATCGCTTTAAAAACTATTTAAAAGCTATATTTAAACTAGAGTGCTATGTTGCTATGATCGAGGCCGCAATTGTAGCCTTCAAGTGTTTTTTTTTTAAAGCATACCTTCAGCACCTTCTGCAGACTATGCTGGACAGTGCTCACATGAGACTCTCAAGAGCCTCCACTGTAACAAGAATCCACAATCTGTAAAAACAAGAGCAAGAAAAAGCAGAAGAGTTAGAAGCACTGACTGTATATATGATATATATGATGATATAGACTCATTGGTTGGAACATGCAGCCACTGTTGCTCTCACTGGACGTCAGTGATGAAAAGTGGAAATGTTCACTCTGCGTTCACCTGAGGAAAATTTTTATAAGTTAAATATAGCTATAACAATAATAAAACGCACTGCTTTTTAAACGGAACAATCACTTTTGGGGTAAATTAATTAAGCAAATAATGTGATGAATCATGATTCTGATTTGACAGAGCAAATTTATTTACTTACTTATTTTCTAATTTGCTTATTTTCACAAGTGAAATATAGTTAAAACTACATTTCAGAAAAAAATGGAAGTGTTTCCATAAACGTTTAAGCATTTTCCTATTACATTTCCTATAACAGATTTGCACTGGGTACTGAAAAGCAAAGTAGATGCAATATGAAACAAAAACATTGGAAAAATTAGCCGAAATCAGGTCCTTTTGGTTGTCTAAATAAGTGCTCAGTTGGGGACAGCCCCAATAGAGTACATGTATAAGTTATGCTCCTGATATGTTTAATGTGATTACAGCTTATGGTCTTATTATTGATACATAAATTAATATGTTTATGAACTACATTGTTTAAGTCATTAACATTCAGGCTTTTTCCAGCTGTACTGTCACATGAATCCCCTGTGGTCAGACTTTCAATTCAAGAGTAACTGCAGAGTAACTGATCATCACTCTGACATGGCACGAGAAGGACAAAGGCAGGTGAGATGACGTGACAGATGTAGGAGAAGACTGTGAGGAGACGTGGAGACACACCTTTCTTGGAGCGTCTAGGTTTGGGCGGCGGGGCCGGACGGTGCGGAAGCTGAGCGAGTGAGCGCGTGCCTTGATGGAGGTCAACACAGGAGAACGCGGATTGAAAGCAAACCAGACAACAAGCGGGCAGCAAATGGATGAGGTGCCCAAAGAAAAGCAGGGGAAAAAAAAAACAACAACAACAACAACAACAGATTGATGATGTTAACGAAAAAAGAAACCCTACAATAGAAACTCCATCAACAGCAGAGTCAGCAAGGCAGGCTACAGTGAGAAGGAAAGGGTTTAACCATCACTGTCTGAGAGCATTCAGCTTGCTCTGAGATCAGCGCTGTGGCTTTAGTGAGGCGCTCTTTCCAAGTCACAGCTGAAACGCTTGCGTGATGAAAAAACACAGCAACATCAATGACAACATCATCAAAAACACTGAAGCGTTATTTTTGGCACCTCTTTGTAAAGTATTGTGTAACATTGGGCCACTGCGAATGAAAAAAGCTTAGCAAAAGCACAAATGGGATTATGAATGTCTCTGAAATAAACAACAAACCAACATACAGCACATACGGAGGCCTCGAATCAAACAGCCACACTTCAGGGGGATGGGCCCCCCAAATGGAATCAGTTTCTAAATGCTAATTTTGGGAACAAAAGAAATTGGAATCACTATTACAAGTCTTCTTCCATTCTTTTTCAGAGGGCTCTTCCCTGGATGTCTGGCTGTCTGAGTCGTCTCAGTGTCATACAAAAGTGCTACAAAGCCTAAAGGGGCATTCTGGCCTAATAGTAGCATGTGATATTAGTGACGCACCGAAATGAAAATTAGCTGAAACTGATACTGAAACTAAGAACATGCTGGGCTGGAAAACCGTAACGGAAAACTGGAAAAAAACAGTCAATAAATAAAAGCAATTTATATAAAATGGAGTTCCGGAATAAGTGAAATTTGGGGGGGAAGACCTTGCCTGAAACCCTTCCTCTTTCCAATCTAACACCCTACAAATTCCCATGTCTATCTTCCATTTCCTGTTACGTTTTCGCAATCCCCATCATCACGTAATCACCTTCCTGTTCCTCAGACCTACGTCAGCTCTACCACAGTTAAAAAAGGGGGTCAAGCCTCATAGATAAAAGCAGAAGCTGCCCAGAACTACAAGCCAAGTTCTCAGAGTTTTTCCCTCCCTCAGACAGTGCTATCATACCTCCACCATTACACTGGCAAAATAAACGTACTAAAATTATGCAGTATGTGCCACAAAATTCACCGCCCTCAACAACACAGAATGGTCAATGAATTCTGTTATTATTCTTACTACACTTTGCCTTTTGTACGCTAATATAATAACACTTTCTGTTTTATTTCTTTAAGCTGCGTATCTTTTTAGGACTTTATTTTTATGTTTTCCATGTTCTCCAAACAAGTACTTTATCATTATTTTTCCTTTTGATGTTCCTTTTGCTTTTATGTATGCAAAGCACACTGAATTTCCTTGTGTATGAAATGTGCTGTATAAAAAAAAAAAATTTCCTTGCGTTACATTTGCATGTTTGCAGTGTCGTTTGTACATTTTTTCGGCATTTCAAAAACTATGGCTACAGACGGTATTGGTGCACTAGTGAGAACCCTCCTTTTCGTTTCTATTGTTTGCTGTATACCCCGTATCGAGTGGGGTTTGTGTTTTAGAAGTGGTATCAAACCTGTAGTAGTGCGACCCTATCTAATGTATATTCATCATGTTATGTAAAATGCTGTAAGGCTGCAATGCATCCCTCATCCTCATCAGTCTGACACAATTCACACTTCTGTATCTTTTTTTATTCAGCAATGTTCTCTCACTACAGTACCCAGCATGCATTACGCAAACACGTCAGGCAACCAAGAACCCTCTCACGGTAATAAAAAAATAAATAAAAATAATGATCGCTAGTGCAGCCACTGATATAGAGGTAAATAGGTTCCTCCCACCTTCAAGATACATCATCAGAAGGGGGTTTTCCTCATCTTAAACCTCTCAGTCTCACCCTAGAGACTACAATAGCACTGTAGGATGCAAATAAGCATGTCTACAACAGATGTAGTGAAGGTTAAATGTTTCATTTTGGCCAGAGTGCCCCTTTAAGTATGAGCTGATAACATCATTCAATGAACAGCTGCATGCAACCAATGTTTAAGTAACTTTTAAAAAGCCTAAAAGTCCATTTAAAATGTAAAGAAATACTTTAAAACATAATCTAAGGATTGACCTTTTGGGATCAAACTGGGGGTTTTAGTAGTGGTACATAAAAATCTGCAGCTCTAATAGACGGGGAGGAACATGCGCTAAGAAGATATAATTTTAGAAGCATGTTCTGCTATATGAAGTTTATAATCCTCATTAGTCATTTTTAGGAGCAGAAGACCAAAAAAACCCCACTGCTGCTGAGAGTTATGTAACCCAGAACAGCTGTTGATTCAGCAGAGGTCTAGATTTTGTCAGTTGATCTACTGAATGATCTACTTTCTGATAAAATGAAGCAACAAATCTGCTGAGTTGCAGTCTCACTGACTGTCACGCAAAGATCATCCACTCATTCTTCAGCTTTAAAGGAAAAAAAAGACAAGGGAGCATATTCTGATTGGTTGTTGCAGTATGGGGGTGCGACTTGTAGAATGATGGACAGTGAAACGCACCTATCTTCTCCATGGATGCATCAGTGGAGAGAAAACCCTGCTGCAGCAGCTGCTCCTTGGTCTCCTCATCATCTACCTGGATTTCAGACACCATGTTACAGGGCACGTAACCATGACGACCACCTGACTCGCCCCGGTAAAACCCATCTGCATCTTTATCACCATAGACCTGCAGACAGGACCGAAAAAGTGAGTAGAAACAGGACAAATGTGGGACACTAGGGCTGCATGACTCAGATGAAATCCCAGCACTGTGATTATATTGCTAGACATTACCACTGCAATGCATCTTGCAACATCTGAAAAATATCCTGGTGAATCAATAATGTCACATGGTTAAACAGGGCTAAACAAAAAAAAACTCGATTCACAAATAACTTTTAAAAAAAACACAGAATTGTGCGTAAAACTGATCGGTTAAACTTACAATACACAGTTTAACAAACAAAAAAACAAACATCAGCTACATTTCCATCCAAAGATCTGTTTTGCAAAAAACGCTGCATCGTTTCATTTACCGACAGAGGCTATAGAAAAACGCAAATTGTATTTAGAACATTTTATGAATGACAACATCATCGTTTTCCATTCAGCTTGTTTATCAAAACCTCAAATATTTCAAAAACCTACTTTGAAAGCCTTTTTTTTTTTAGAAAAAGCACACATTTACACCCAAATTTGGTGCTGTGACAGATTTTACATAGAAAGAGAATCTCTTGCGTAACAGCTTAGACAGAAAAATATTTAACTAAATAAAACTAAAAATAAAAGAAAATAAACAAGATTTCTTTAACAGTAGGTTATGGGTATTCAAGTAAACGTGGTGCCGGTCCAGTTTTCACATCTTAGTAAAGAGTCATGTAAAAAAGACCTTTATTCAGTGCCACACTGATACAGCCACTGAAAAAGCCACTTTAGTGTCAAAAACATTTCCGACCAAATTAGCTCTCTTTTTAGGGCAAAAAAATGGTCCATCCACATTGAGATACTGAGATAGAAAACAGGTATATTAAGCATGTCCTTTATAGAAAGTTTAGAAAGCGCTTTGTTGTGGTGCCAGCAAAGATGGCTATGTCTGTAAATGTATTAAGCATGCAGAGGTCTGTCATACAGCAGCAAATATAAAGTGCTTTGTCTTGTATGCAGCAACAAAGTCTTAATACCAAAGTCATTCGGTGGGCCAACTTGGCAACACCACCTCAGGTCGTTATTTCCAGTCACACAAGACCAGACTCCTATGTCTTTAAAAGAGAAGAGACCTATAAACTCAAAACTGAAAGCCACATTAACATTTTAAGAATGTATTTAAAATAACCTTTGGTGCTTGTCTCTTTACCAACAAGTCAACTGGATTGTTTTATTGAAGGGCTTTACAGACACCACATTGACTGTTATGAGCTTCCCATTCTTGATTTACTCAATCTCCTCCTTCTTAACACTGTCAAAATACGTCAAATTCTACAACAGAGGTCAAAACAGCACCACAACATTTGACTGAAATCATCCTCAGGTGTTGGAGCTGGGATCACGCGACTATCAGGGGTCTTTCTCAGGACAAGAGCATTTTCAAAAATATCTAACAGAAAGTCATTGGACTTCTCAACACGCTTGGAGGACAACACTAGCTGCCAATTCTGTTGGGTCAGCTAACAGATACTAGAATCATGCTGAGTGACGGGGGAGAGCGATGGTCATCCCTGCCAGCCAGAGAGAGCGAAGCCAATTATCCTCTCTTGGAGTAGCGCCAATGCTTAGACTTTTGAGCCACTTCAGAGCCCTATTCACCGTCTGTGTCGCTTCTCAAGATTTTTCAAAAATATGTGCTTTCGGTAGTTGTATGTGCTATTTGGGTGTGGATAGAAGAAAAAAAACATTCTCTATTGTAACCATATTAGTGTGACCAAGGTCTGAGACCAGCTTATACTACTAGCACTGGTCTCGGATGGCCATTCCACAGCGTTCCGTACCTTAATGATCTGGCCTTCCCTAAAGGGAAGCTCCTCTTCTGCAGCATCACGATTGGGCGACATTGTGGCAGGGTCATAGGGAAACAGGGCGACGAAAACTCTCACTTCATTTTCACCAACCGGCCTTGACTCTGCAACATCTGCACACACCCACAAACAGACACAGACACAGAGTTAGGCTGCCAGCTTGGACCCACATGCTGAAGCTGCATAAATGTAACCACTGCTCCCCTTCACCCCCACCCCAGGCTCAAAATGGCGCAGTCCAGGCGTGTCCTTAAGTGAGGTAATCACAGTAAAACCCACTGAGCCTAAGCCTGCATGAGCCGCTTGAGAAACGTGCAATCCCCACACACTTTAACACAGAGAGAGAGAGAGAGAGAGAGAGAGAGTATGATGGCAGATGCATGCATGTGCTCCAAATATCAGAAGCCCACTTTATGTCCGAAAGTATCCACACACCACCTTTCATTAGCGAGCTCAGCCGCTTTAAAGGTCCCATATCACAGAAAAACTGAACTTTCCTCTTTTACTTAATAAATAAAAGAGTTTGATGTATTATGTAAACAATCATTGTTAAAGTTTCATCCATACAGTCCATATATGGAAACTATGCTGCAAATCCAGCTCATTCTGCATTCTCACTTTTTGTGATGTCATAAAAAGTAACATATCGCTGCTGTCGGAACAAAACCTCGTATCTCCAAAATGGTAACTTTACAGGAGAAGCAAAAAACATGCATTACTTTTAATGTAAGACAATGGAACCAGATTTTTTTCCAAGTCATTTTGGGCCGTTTCTTTTGGTCCATTCATCATGAACACACACAATGTAAAGGGCAACAGACATTTTCAAATTACGTCAAAAAATGAAAATTGCCAAAAATGGAGATACAAGGTTTTGTTCCGACAACAGCGACGTGCATATATGCGGCTATTCAGCCTACAGCAGTTCAGCCATTCGCGCTGTGGTTATAAAGATTGTGGCACCCTGAACCGCTTTTTGAATGAGATACAACACACAGGAGCCAATCAGAACAGAGGTCATTTACACATATCAGTCTTAAAGGCACGGTAACAGAAAGAGTCTGTTTATTTCTATAAGAGGTTGGAAAACGCTCACATAAAAAAAAAGAATTATGACCACATGAACTTTGAGTGGACCTCTGTCAAATCTATGTCAAACCACGCTGAATGACTTTGTTTCAATGATAGAATTTTGCAGAATCTTTTGGGAAAATGATGAAAACTGATGACAACCATTTGATTTGATTCTGAACTGCACACACACGGACCTTTAAATGCCTCTCCCTGCATATGAGTCCGTTATGACTCTACATGGCTCTTGTGACCTGAAAATCCAGAGAGGTTTTCTGAAGGGCAGCAGGTCACCGTGGCAGCAAGGTGACAGCATCACGGAGCCTCGTGTATGCTGATCTGACCAGCTGGGGGAGTAGGGGATACGCACAGTAAATAAGCGTCCAGCATGTTTGACTTAAGCTCCATCTTATTATGCAGGATCGCACCATCTGTAGCATCAAGGGTGGAGCTCCCAGAATGTTTTCACATCCCTCTGAGAGAGCAGGCCTGTGTGTGTGGTTTCTTTGAAATAGATCCTCTATAAAGGTGTTGTGTATTTTTACTTTTAGTGTGAGGTTGAACATGTTTGAGGAAGTAAGAGAGAAGATTTAACTGCAGATGGTTTTTATAGTTGTATGCAAAAGTTTGAGCCCCCCTGGTCAAATGACATTTTGTTGATTTTCTAAGTGAAAATAAGTTAATACAGCTTCTACAGAGATCACATTCTGCATGTTCTAATGCACAATTACCGTTTATTTACTGATATTAACATATTGAAAAAAAAACAAAATTTGCCAACTTTTGCACAGGCCACGTTTTACGTTTGTTTTCCCAGTATGTTAAATTCAGCAAATAAACAGTAATTGTGCTTTAAAAACTGTGCTTTGCTTGTAAAACTTACCAACCATATAAATATCTTTTTAAATCTATTTTTAAACCTAATGCCTAAAACAGGGGTCGGCAAAGAGCCATTTTGTCCTTTCAACAAAAATCAAACCATCATTGGAGCCACAACATTTTATGTCCATTTTACCATCCTGGCTGTAAATATGTCTCAGTATATGCTAATGTACTAGTACAGGCTGAAAATATAAACGAAAATCCAGACTTCCTTTTCTCTGCTTTAAGCTTCACCTAAGCTATAGCTTTTCTCGCATCTTCGGCAGGAAACCTTTCCGCAAAAGTAGAATCGTTTCTTTTAAAATATCTCTCAACATTCGATTTTTACAAGGCTGAAATCAGCTTTTCGTTCACCAACTTCTTGTTCGAATTTTCCCGTTCCACCTTAAATGGTGCCTGAGGCACCAGAATGTAACCGCTGCACCATTTAAGATGGATCAGGAAAATTCTAACAAGAAGCTGGTGAACGAGAAGCTGATTTCAGCTTTTGGACTTTTTAAGTGTTTGAGAGTTTCTCGTTGCAGATTAAATGTATCAGGAAACCAACTGAGTGATTATAAATGTGAATAAGCCCATTTTTCTCCAAATTATCCATGTTTGTCTTATATCTTTCTCTTTGCCTCTTTTTTAGCTACTAGCCAAGCCAGATTCTTATCTGCGTTGCTATGGTGACCAGCAGTCTGCGCGGCAACCTCCAGGGTTAATGGGTGAATTAGCAGCTATACATAAATGCCAGCGTTTGGTAAAACTGTGTTAGAACGATCAATGGAGCTTTATTTTACTGCAAAGGAGGATTATTTTATGTTTACCTACATATCGAATTCTGCTGTGGAGCGGCTACAGGGCAGTAAAAGAGCTGCATGTTGCTGAACCCTGGCCTTAAACCTCTGCACAGTACTTTCACTGCCGCACCATTTAAGATGGAATGGAAAATGTGAGAAGCTGGCAAATTAGAAGCCAACTCCAGCATAACTGTATTAATTTTATTCTCTTATTATAAGAGATTTGGCAATTTTGTAAGCAGTTCTTACTAGTTTTTGTAAAATCTCATGCATTTGAATGAACCTGAGAGGTGTACAGGTTACACGGATCCAGTCCATCAATCTAGCTAAGCCTCTCCTCGTGGACTTTCCTGGAGACTGCATCTAAAGTGTCCACATAACTTTTTGTGGTCATTCTGGTCTATTTTGCTTAATCTTCATCTTCTTCCACCAGCAGGGCTGTTGCTGCAGCAGCGGTGGCAAGACTAGCCACATCAGAGCACAGTGAAGCAACATGTTGCCTACCAAAATGGCGGCGGGGCATTCTTAGTGACGTAATCAAATACTATGAATTAAACAATGTCATGTCAGCCTAAGACTTTTGTACAGTGCTGTATGTGCGTGAGAAAAAGGGGAAAACTGACAGAGGTAAAATAAGAAAAGCTGAGCATGAGAGAGACCAATACTGTAATGATTAAGAAACACCAGAGATAATGAGTGAAAGAGAAGAGCGGGCGAAACACAGAGAAAGATTAGAGGGGATAAGACAGAGAAACAGAGGGAGAGAGAGAGAGAGAGCGAGAGAGAGAGAGAGAGAGAGAGAGAGAGAGAGAGAGAGAGAGAGAGAGGGAGAGAGAGAGAGAGTTACTCAGGCGTGGTTTCATGCAGGCTAATCTGGGTTACTATTTTCATTGCTGTCACTTCCTCCTCTCTCATGACAAGCCGTTTTGGGTTAAGCCTGTGCTTAGCTTAGAAAGCTCCATCTATCCCATCCCCCCCTTCTCTCTCGTTTCCCATCCAAGTTTTAAGAAAGAGACCTCTTCATCAGGCCTCTGCAATCATTTCTGGATGATCGATAGACATTTTGAAAAGCTAACCTTTCTTTTTTTTCTTTCTTTTTTTTTTTTAGTTGCAATAACAGATGCTAGAAATGCTTATCCCTTCTCCTTTAAAGTAGGAGTTTTCTTTATGACAGCAACATCGAGAGAAGAAGTGGAGAAGGTGGGCACATCCTACCTCTGGGCAATCTGGTCTCTGATCTGCTTAATTTCGAGGATAGCTCTCTGGGACCGCACCAGGCTGCTCCTGCGTCTGCCAGGGGAACCTCTCGACTTGCTGTCTCCTGGGATAGAAATACAGTCATTACTGCGTATCAGGGGTGCACCATACATCAGCGGGTGAAAACGACTTAACGATAAATAGGAAAATTGGAAATGTTATAACCGATACTGGAATTACGGCCAATAATTTTAAGTCCTTTTTTAGTTTGCGCATGCACTGACACACATGTAGTCACTAATAATAGGAAGTTCTCTCGTACATGGACAGTGTAGTCGATAACATCACTGCCTAGTACAACCCTGAGAGAGCAGGGTTTGATTAACTGTCCAGGAAAAAACACCTCTGACTGTATATGTAAAGGGCAAGACTTACAGTGTTGCATTGTAAATGCTTCTAGATTAGATTACCTGCCAAATAACATACAATTCTTTAAGAAACTGTTTGATTTAGCTGTGCCATGTAAAATTAATCAGTGATCTGTCTTTACAGTCTTTACATCGAAATTTATTACTGAATGACTTCAATAAAGACACCACACCGACCTTCAGTTTATAATCTGAGAGGAAGTATGAAAAAAAGTGTTGTGTAGGATTCGGTATCAAAATTAAGGCTTCAGTATTAGTATTGCCAATGAAAATTATTGTAATAATACCCAGCTCTATACTGGACCTTACAAATGGACTTGGTGATATAACCAATCATTATTATCATTAGCATTATAGAGTGAATTCTGAGTGTAATTATTAGATATTAACATTGTTATGAGCCACAATGAAGTATAAATTGCTGGTTTTCATATCGGCCTAGAAATTCCATATCAGTGCATCCCCTCTGCAGACTGCATACACTCAAGGACACTGCACACAAGCATACTAAGCACACACAACTGCCCACATGTACAGACTCTTGTTTAAGCACAGTTTGCTTCAAAGGCCACAAAAGCAGCACCTGGGGTTGGTCTCACTACGAATACATACGCATGCAGCCTTACACAGCCTTCAACAAGGATCTGGAGGGGAGGGACGGTCGGAGCATACCTCTGGGGTAATGCGTCCATTAGGTTTAAAAGTGAAAATAAAGGTTCACCATATGTTGACATTCACACAAACAACCCCGAAAGGCCCCTGACATTCAAGGCTTCGGGTTTTAAAGGAACTGAAGGAGGGTTCTTGCTGAGTTTCTCTGGAAGAGCAAGAGGTGCAACAAGGGCGCACTACTATGGAGTCAGCCACATACAACGGGGCCAAGCACTGAACAGCTCTACTTTAACAGATCTCAGAACAGTCAAAAACAGCACAGGGCACAAAGGGAACAGGGAGCTTAGCTGCAGAGCATGACTACGTTAAGAGACAAGAGGCCACTGAAGGAGAAGAACGGGGAGCATCCACAGGGAGTAGTAATAGGACAGGCAGGCCTAAACCTTTTGCATTCATGTTGAAGATGTGTCCTAGGCCCCACATCAAACCATTTACTCTGGTATATAGTACAGCATACAAGTGGAAAATGGCTCATTCCAGAGAAGCCGTAGATGCGGATTAAAACTACCGGTATGCTAGCCAAGAAAGGTGCAAAAGGTTTCAGCCATTTCCATTAGGATTTGGTATTCCAGGAGGGAGCTAAACTTGCGAGATTATGCAATGTAACACACCCATGAGTGGTGGTCCGATGGCATGATTGCAGGCAACTCCTGTTTGAGCCGTCTTGGCAGGGGCACAGGATGGTATTCGTGGTTGCCACCCTCAACCCACCACTCAGAGCTCATCTGCTCCACCACCACCTCTCCCGGATCAAAAGGCACCGGCTCGTCATCCGTCCCATACTCCACATCAATCTCCACGGTGGGTCCCGTGGGCGATTTGACGCGGTGCACTGTCCTGCTGAGCAGGTAGGGTACCTGGTCTGTCCCAGATGGCATCACTACTAGATCAGAGGTCATCTGACTCCGTAACATGGCCTCCCTGCGGAGTCGGTCGCTGTCCCGTTGTGTCCGATGCGGCCGCCGGACTACTACTTCCCTGCTGCAGGGTCCAGCATACAGGCTGCTATCCGAGTCCAGCTCCACTTCCTCATCATCCTCATAGTTGATGGTGTCCACCGTGTCAGCGTAGTGCACCCTGGGACGAGGCCGGACTTGCCCAGCCCCTCCATGCATCGCTGCTGGGTCTCGGACTTTGGCTCTGTGGTAAGGTTGGCGGTGTTGGTGGGAAAGGGGGCGATGGCAAGCTTCAGGACCATGGTGGTGGCTCTCTCCTGGGCCAGGCCGACACATTGATGGCCCCTGAGCTGGAGGCGCCCTGGAGGAGTGTGGCTCAGATTCAGTATTGTCCTCCTCCTCGGTCACCTCAGGGATGCTGAACAGCTGCTTGTTGTGATAGGCCTGGGGGTGGAGCTTCAGAATCTTCTCCAACACTTCCTCGTCGCTGTCCGGCTCCCAAACCTCAGACTGAGGAGTGGGACAATAGCAAAACCAGGGCAAGAGGTGTGGCCATTACACAAGGGAGGGGTGTGCAGGCACACACGAACACAAGGACATACATGTAGGGTGAGTTGGCATTGTGAAAGGACAAAGGGAAAATATAGAGAAAAAGAGAAAAGAGGAGAAAATTTAAGCAGCAGAACAGAAAAAAACATAAAGAAGAAAAAGATGCACGACAGTAGATTACATCTCACAGTGAGAGGGTTCGTTCAGAAGCCTAAAGAAAAGGGGGCAAAGAAGAGTGGCAGATTTATGACACTAAAAGAGAATTTATGATGTATATTGTGCTCAGTATCTTCCCAGGCATATTGTTCTGAACCACAGTGTGGTTTTATACTGGGTTTCTGCTCACCCTGCCAGCAGGTCCAGAGTTGTAATTTCTAGGTGTCACATCAGCAGTGGACTCGGAGTACAGATCCTCCTCCTCTTCCTCCAGGATGTCGGACAGGTCTGACCGGCTGCTCTCCACAGGGTAGTCAGGAGGAGGGTCCATAAGACCTCCTGCATAAATCTGCACACAATCCAGCAAGAAACACAAACAAAATTTCAGAAACAGAGCAAAAAAGGACCAACAGTAGCCATATACAGTCACATGCACACATTGAACATGTTGATTTTCTGGAAATAAGTTAAAACTCTCTACAGGGGACAAATTTAAATATAAGATTTTTTTGGCAAATTTTAGTGCACAATTTCTATCTATTTGTTGAATTTAACATAGTGGAAAAGTGACAAAAATGCATCGTCATGATTCTTGAAGTCATTTTCATAATACACAATAAGTCACAACATTTACTTTTTCTGACATCTGATCAGGTGGAACAGACAAAGGGATGCCACATAAAAAATCAAATTTTTTGTAGTGAACGCTTCATACACTGTGCTGCACTGAATGCAATTCTGCTCTCTTTGCAATGAAACATGCATTTGGAATGTGTTTAGTAGTTTGTGGACTGACGATGTCCACAATATACTCTGAGAAGCTTACTGTGACATATATTTATCACAGTAATAATAACTATTGTCATATTGTCCAGCTCTAATAGACCCTTTTCACAAGAAACGGAAGTAAAACTAATTGCGCTATTGCTTTACGGACAATTACTACCCTCAGACATAAAGGCGTTCATATCACTTCAGCTCACCACATTAAGGTGTGTCACTTGTTTACAGTTTCTCAGGGAGAAAATGAACTGTTCCTCTGAAAGCGGCTGTAGCAGCAGCTTGCACAAACTGCATTTAGTGTAACGTAGTCAGCAGCGGTGAAATGTAGACACAGAGGCTCTTTTATAAATAACAAGGTTCGTTCCTTTGTTACTTGCACAAACCCATTTTGCTCAGCTCATGGTCAGCAGACAAACCACTGAAACTGAGATAAGGCGGTTTTGACTTCAAGCTCGAACCCTTGAGTAAGCTGTACACGCTCTACTTGATGTTATTGTTGTTGCTTTAGCAGAAGCAGCGTTGCCCTGCAACGAGTACTTCCAGCAGAAAAAATGCAGAAATGTGAAAAAGGGCCTATTGGAAATCAATAAAACATAAAACGTAATTGTGCCATAACTTTTGCACAGGTCACATTTTATGTTTTACTTCCACATTATGTTAAATTTGGCAAACAAACAATAACTGTGCGTTAAAATGTGCAGAAGTGTGTTCTGCATAGAGAATGTTTTAGAAAATTAACAGACGTAACCAGGGGTGTCCATATTTTTCAGCATCAGGATAAAGGTAGAAAATGTATATTTAACAGAAAAATACACAGAAGCCTCAACAACTAAATACAGTCATAATAATAATACACATTTTCAGTATTTAGTGTGTCCACTCTTCACATTTATTACAGCTTCCATTCTTTTCAGGAAGCTTGGTTTCAGCCTTTCAAAGAAATCTCCAACAATATTTTCCACACCTCCAAAGTTCAGTCCTAGAAGTTGGTTGCATTTTCCGTAATCCCAATTAAAAATTTAGACTCATCAGCCCACAAAACCTCACCCTTATCTCAGATCTCTATTTTCTTTTCACAGACTTGACAGCTGACTCTTAGATCTGCAGTGTTGAGTTTTGGCACAGGACAGAGAGGAACACCTTATACTTAATGGCCGTTTTGACTGGAAATTAGATAAACGAAAGGGGGGTCTCTGACTTTTCCACAGTACCATACACATGACATTATTGGTATGACGTTTAAAGTGGACAAAGTCAATATGTTCGGCACGCAAGTTTAAATGTAAGTATTTGATTTATTCATGCTTGTTCTTTATATAATATGTTTTCTGACTCATCAGACATAAAGTTTAAGAAAGTGGCCATCACATGCTTATGCCCATGCGCACTGTATACTATGCTATATCATGGTACACTGCACTCCATTTGCAGTAGGGATGACCCAATTTGATCTGATATCAGAGATATCAGAGTAGATTAAGACATACTTCAATTGACTGGTACATTAAGCCGAATCAAATTCCCATCCTTTGTCCCGGCTCTTTTAGCTACTGCATAATATTTCTGTCACTGTCATTGATATGATTAACAGATATTATCTACAACCACCTGGAGTGCGGCCAATATTAAAATCTACAGTGTGGAGCTATGGCACACTGGAAAATCAAAACAATCTCCAGTGTCAATGTTTAGACAACTGTTAAGCTTGCTGTCTTTAACATGGTTAAACTAAGTGCAGGCCAAATAAATTTACACAATAGGAAAAGGAGCAGTGAATATTTTGCATGTTAGACAAACTTGAAATATGAATCTAGTTTACCGAATGCACCATAAAAAGCGTATTTAAAGGAAAAAACAGCCCAAAAAACTGAACTCATCAGTTCACAGTGTGTTACACTATATGAAGTGATTTTAATGCATCACTTTAAAGTAACTGGCACAGCCTAGCATATTTTAACTTGAAGTGTGTTGGGCTGTATTGTCTACAAAAATGAAAATATTGAGATTCAGTATCTAGGGTAAGGAACTTTGACATCCCTAGTTTGCAGATACCTAAAGCTTCACTGCCCTGTCTGGCAAACTGACCTTTATTCTGGGCTGAGGCTCGGGCCTCAGGAACTCCTCAATGGAGACCAGCCGGGCGTTCTCCCTGTCGTCTTCCGGCTCTGACTCTAGCGGGGAGGGGATGGGCGGCCGCAGTGGGTGTGTGTCGGGCACGTTGAGCAGATCCGTCCCTGTGGCGGTGACCTTGGGCACGCTGGGGGCAGGCGGAGGCGTGTGGAGCTTGGCACGGGGGTCCTCCAAGAAGTCAGAGATGGAGGCGACGGGACGAAGAGACCTCGGGCTGTCTGCGTCTCTGCCGGGCTCTGGCACTGCTGCGGGGACCACACTAGGCTGCGCAGGAGCTGGAGTTGCCGCTGCCATGGGGACAGCCGTGACAATGGGCACTGGGACCGGCACAGGAGTGGACACAACCACAGGTACAGGCACACTCACCTGCTGACAGAGAGGCCCCATGGAAAAGTTCTAAGCAACAAGGAATTAAGGTTAAAAAGAGCACAGGAATCGGCCAGTGCTGTGTTAAATCATCAATCTCGATTAGGTCTGTCAGATCCTTGGAGATTTAAAAATCCGCAGGACAAAGCTTTCTCTTTGTTCTCTCATGTACACCACTCTTTCTCAAGGATCGATTTTTTTTCTGCTAGATAACAGACTACTCCATCATGTTAACTCATGTGATTATCACACCATTGTCATTTCGGACCACGCCCCTACAACAGTTGATATTAATTTTCCTTCTGTCCCAACCTTTACCAAACAATGGAGATTCAGTTCATATATGTTATCCAATAATGAGTTCAAGAACTTTATTGACAGATTAGCTTCTATTTTGCAGTTAACAATACCCCTGAGGTTGGTAGTGACACTTTATGGGAGGCCTTTAAGGCTTTTATCCGTGGGCAGGTGATTTCCTGTTCCTCTCAGGTGAGACGGGTGGAGAGAGCTAGGTCCTTAGGGATAACAGAAGAACTTTTCAAACTCGACACAGTGTATGCCTCCACACCTTCCCCCGCTCTTTACAAGAAACGCCTTCAGTTGCACTCAGAATATGACCTTTTGACGACACACAACTGCGACAATCTAAACAACTGGTCTTCGAACAGGGAGATAAAGTGGGGAGGTTGCTGGCCCACCAGGCCCGTGAGGCCTATGCCTCCAGATTGATTTCTAAGATCAAATTACCCTCAAGTGATACAACCAGATCCAGCTGAAATTAACAGAGTCTTTTTTGATTATTATTCCAATCTTTACAAGTCAGAACGGCCTCTCAACCCCTCAGAGTTACACTGCTATCTTGATGCACTAAATTACCCCAAAGTTAATGAGTCTATGCCTGTGGACATGGGTAGACCCATTTCCACCCTGGAGGTACAAGAGGCAATAGGGTCACTCCAAAATGGAAAATCCCCTGGGCCTGATGGTTTCACAGTGGAATTCTACAAAGCTTTTTCTACACAGCTTCTCCCAATCTTGACAAGGTTATGCAATGACTCATTTGATAAAGGCGGACTTCCACTAACCTTATCTGCAGCGACTATTTCTTTGTTACTCAAAAAGGATAAAGACCCTACCCTTTGCAGTAGTTATAGACCAATATCGCCCTTTTTTTATTTATTTTTTTTTCAATTTTTACCCGGTTTTCTCCCCAATTTAGTCGTAGCCAATTTCACCCGCTAGTGAGGACTCCCCCAATCACACACAATATTATCAACGCTAGGAGGGTGAAAGCTAACACAGGCTACCTCCGAGACCTGTGAAACCAGCCACTGCATCTTTTCGAGCTGCCGCTCATGCAACGTCATTGGACAGCCGAACGTGCTCGGAGGAAAGCGCCAACCACCAGATCTATTACGTCAGCTAACAGACGCCTGCGCTGACTAGCATCGTGCTGAGTGAGTGATGGGGGGAGAAAGGCAGCCATCCCACCCACCCAGAGAGAGCGAGGCCAATTGTGCTCTCTCGGACTCCCGGCTACGGATGGCTGTAGCATCACCAGAGATCGAACTCGCGATCTCCTGATGATAGGGCCAACGCTTAGCCGGTTGCGCCACTTGGGAGCGACCAATATCACTCTTAAACGTAGATTTTAAAATTCTGGCCAAAGTTCTATCTCGTCGTCTTCAACAGATTATGCCAGACCTTATTGCTCCCGACCAAACAGGTTTTATACAGGGCAGACATTCATTCTTTAACACCAGGAGATTACTTGATATTCTTTATTCCCCTTCTTCTAACTGTCCTGAAATTGTAGTGTCCCTTGACGCCGAAAAAGCCTTTGATAGGGTGGAATGGGGTTATCTGTTCTTCATTTTAGACAAATTTGGTTTTGACTCTAACTTTATTCGCTGGATCCGTCTCTTATACACCGCCCCAACTGCTTCCATCTATACTAACAGTATACAGTCATCACCTTTTCCTTTGTACCGTGGGACACGCCAGGGATGCCTGCTATCTCCCTTGCTTTTTGATTTGGCGATAGAGCCTTTAGCAATTTGGCTTCGTAGCCAGGAAAGATTTGAGGGCATTACACGTTACAATGTAGTCCATAAACTTTCCCTCTACGCAGATGATCTTCTTCTTTACATTTCTAACCCCACCTCATCCCTTCCAACAATATTGGAAATTTTGGACCAGTTTAGCCAACTATCTGGTTATAAATTGAATTTGCAAAGAAGTGAGCTATTTTTTGTTAACTCTTTAGCAAAGTCCCTTCCGCATTCGATCTTTCCTTTTAGGCCTGACATTTTGTTCAAAAGCTATTCCCCCACTTCCCCAACCGCCCCCCTGAAACCTATATCGATCAATTTCTTACTCTTGATCACTCCCAGAAGCGACTCATATCTGTTAATTATAATTAAAACTGAAACTCTTAAAAAATCCTGGGAGGAGAATTTGGGTATTACTATTTCAGACGACCACTGGGCTCGCATCCTGGACCGGGTACATTCCTCATCCATATGTGTCAGACATGGCCTACTGCAGTGTAAGGTGCTTCACAAAGCCCACTTTACTAATGCTAGGCTGGCAAAGATATTTCCAAATCGAAGTGATGCTTGTGAGAGATGTAAACAGTCTCCGGCTGACCATGTACATATGTTCTGGACGTGCCCCCAACTTACTAGCTTTTGATCTAATATATTTGACACTCTCAATCAAGTCCTCAACTGTAATTTTACGCCCTAATCCCTTAACAGCCCTATTTGGCATCACCCCCGATCTGTGCCTGCCTGCAACCTCACAATGTGTTATTGCCTTCACAACCTTGCTGGCCAGACGTGCCATTCTTCTTAAATGGAAACAGGCCTCTCCACCATTGCATGATAGGTGGATCCAGGATGTCCTATTATGCATCAAGCTCGAAAAGCTAAGATTTTCCCTGAAGGGTTCCTTGAGATCCTTTCACAGGACCTGGGATCCTTTGCTTGATTTTATCAACAACTCTGTTTCACTTATAGTGATGCCTAAATATGTGAACTGAGAGGTTTTTTTTTTTTTACTTATCTCCCCCTCTAATTTTATTCATAATTTTGTACATATTGTAATTTATCATTTACATGTATTATTATTTACATATTGATTTAGACCACTCTTGCTCTGGTTGATATTCTGTTTATCTCTGTCGAATTCCCTGGAGCAGCTTAATAGGGGGGTGGGTGGATTAAGGTTCAAGGGTAAGGGGTTGATGCAGAAGCACACTTTTTGTTGTTTCACTTCAACAATGTAATATGTTTGTGATTCTACAAAAGCTAATAAAAAGATTTGGAAAAAAAAGAGCACAGGAAAAGCTCAGGAATATTGAAGTGCTCTACTAAAATACTGTTACAAAAAGTTTTAAACTGTGTCTTGGTGCTTTAACCCTTTAGACTTCAACCTTTCAAAGCCTAGAGCTGTTATTTTGGTATAATTTAATTATTAGGACTCAATCAAACGATTTAAGTAATTAAATGCAAATATTGCCATTATTTTGTGTACTTAGTCATGATTAATCACATTCATATTTGCTCAAATTGGACTTCCATTTTAAAAGCAGAAGCAGTGCATTTCGTTCGAGCTATGAGTGGAAAAATGCTTTCAATAGAATGTATTAACTTTCGATAATTCAGTGGCATTATTCACTGTGTGAGAGCACAGTTCACATGAACTTAAACATGAAGATCACGTGATTTTCATAGAGTGATGTTAAATAGTGCTGCTTTAACCTGTATTTGAATCAAATGGCTATAATCACAGATTCTTTCAAAGCAAAATACAGCGCTTGAGCAGTGGGCTTCAGCCTGCACTACTACAGATGCTTTCAAGTTTAAAACTGGGAAAATTTGTTAACAAAAATTACTGATGTTAATCATTTATTGCGTTAACTTGTTATTAATGTGTTAACTTAGACAGCCCTAGTAATTACAAACTTGTATAACTGTATATAATTATGAGATTAATTTTATTTACATTTCATTTATATTCTGTATCAGCTGGTTCAGGTCTGCGCTTTTAATATTTTTCCTTCTTGTTTTGATATAAAATGCCAAAAAAGACAAAAATGTAAAGGCTGTATGCACAACAAGGAACTGATATCAAATTTAAATCATAATAAAATATCTCCTCTTTGGCATACAAACTTAAATGCGATATGGACGGAAACTCTTAAACCAAGTTTCTCTAACTGTTTATATGAGATAAGGTCATATAAGGTGCTAACTGTTAAGGGTTCATTCCAATTCTAAATGGAGACAGCTTGAGTTTTCAGATATTTCAGGAAAACCTGAAGACTATGTTCTAAAGCAAAGGTCAGGTCACCAAGCTGTCTCCTGAATATTTACCGTTCTGCTGGATTGAGTTCCAACTCAAAACCTAACTAAGCCAACCAATTAGTTGGATCTGGTGTGTCAGATTTGGCTTGGAACACTGTGGAAAAGCAGGACGGTAGCTGACCACTCAAGGGCCTTCAGACAGCAGCAGGGTTAGTAGTAGAGTTTCAACATACAAGCCAGTTGGCGTCTAGGTTATAGCACTTCACACTCACCGGTGGATTAGACTTGGCAACAGGTAGTGGCCGTGCCTCCTGCGCAGCCATAGCAACCGTCAGGGGGGCAACTGCAGCGGGGTTTGCCCACGCCTCAACTATGGAGGCAGCGGGCTGGGGGGCATCATTGGTGGCGGCTTTGGCCGTGTTGGCGTAGACACCCCTGACAGGGCCTGAGGGTTGTGCGTCTTGGACAGGGCTGAGCGGCATTGTGGGTGTTTTGGCAGCAGACAGAGACGTGGCACAGACAGCGAGCTCCGTGGTGGTGGCACCGGCGGTGAGGACACTGGCGTGGGCTGGCACAGGCTGGCACTGAGGCAAAGAGGCGCCAGCCATGATGGCAGGCAGCTTGGCGGGCACGTTAACAGGTGCAGAGTCGGCGGACTCTCCGTGAGGCGACATGGTGCGCACGGTAATCTCATGAGCCGCCTGCAGCGTCTGGATCTGAGAGGGACCAATTAGAGCGCTGCCTGCCGTGGGGGAGGACACCTCCAGCACCTGGAGAGAGGAACGTAAGAGACATAAATTTGCACTTTTTATAAAAGGCTCTTGAAAAAAAGGCTGTGATGAACTTTAAGGTGTACTGCCATTGCCACTGTAGCAGTGCTATGTGATACAAAAGTGCCACCATTACTACCATTTTTGGTCTAAAGTGAGCTTCTCTCTGCTGAAATCTTTTATTTTCTATTTCTTAGAAGAGCTAGTTTACGCTGTGTTCAGAAAGCCATAGCTGTTGACTAATAAATTCTAGAGGAAGCCCTCAGAAATAAGGATTGTGTGTAGTAGTGGAGGTGATGCTGATGCCTGGTCCCAGGTGTGTAATTATTTGAATACAGATCGAAAAATATGTTCCATGGATGCAGTTTGTCTCTTCTGAGCATCTCTCATTTTCAGGGATCAAAACTACACCTCTGAGTGCATCCAATCAGTATAAACTGGGTGGAGCTTTATTTGTCACTCATAAATCCCAGATTTGAGCTGATTTTATTCTGTTATAAAAGTTAAAACTAAAATTTAAATAAATGAATAAATAAATCACCTTCTTCTTGTCAGCGTAGATGGTGTAGCCGGTGACTCGGACCCCATTGGAGGTTCCAGCAGCGTCAATGGTGACGGGCAGCCAGCTGATCTGAGCAATCCCTGGAGATGGGCCATGCTCCAGCTGCACGTCCAGTGGAGCGTCAGGGGGACCTGGGGGTCAAACAGCTGGGGTTTAAAAACTGGTGGTGTTCTGAATTTGCCTGTTTTTGTCATTTTTCCCCAAAGTGAGAATTTACAATGGAAGCTGATTAGCTCACATGGCTTAGTAATTGTCTTTTTCAAGCCCATTTGGGTGTCAATGGGCTAAGCAATTTTAAGTGTCATGAATAAGAACACTGTATCACGCACACTATTAATGCCAGCATTCTGTTTACACCATCACCACCTTATACTGTGGTTTTTATCGTGTTTCCTTATGCCAGTAAAAGATGTTTTGTAGGGCTGTCAGAACACAATATTGCTAGAATGTGGTTAAATGCTGGGTGAAAACACGTGAAATCACTGAAACAATCTCAGATTTGCTTTATACCTTCAGGAAATCATGGCACTGAGCTCAAAAGACAGTGTGCAAAATTTTAGGCTTGTATCTTAGTAGTTTTTGAGATAAAGTGTCTGTGGATGTTGACAATTTTTGCCATGAGCACTGCAGAAAAAAAAAGATTATATTTGACCTATTCATGTTAGATCTATTATTTTTTATGTGTTTTAATATAAACAAAAAAAAAACCCCAAAAAAACAGAAGATGTAAAGAATTTTCTTTCTAGCTTAACAGCAGTTTCAGTCAACTCACCAGTACAACCAACCATCGATTTGTCCAATTATGCATATGCATTCTTACATTTCAGTGATGGCTAGGGTTAGGATTGGGGTTAATAACGTCATTCATAGCATGTATTAACATCTAGCATTAGCTTTATAAATATCTAATCATAATTTTAGCCAGTAGTTGACACATGTAAAATCTTAATATATAAAATCCATACATCCTGCCAAAGGAAAACTTGAATATGCAGTATTACTATACTTGAAACCTGCTAAATAACACTGACATAACCATGCCATAACCATGACATATATGCCACAGGTGCCTTAATGTTTGATGTTATGTCAAGTTTATGTTATATGCAAATTCTTCCTATGTACTCTAGTTAGCCATCATGACATCAAACATTATGCCATCTCTCATGACAATGACTAGTAATGGAAATATGACAATGGGCATAATCTGTCATGACAACTCATATGACACTTGGCATGACATGTTTATGGCTCAGTTATGTCAATATCATGTACCAGGGTTACTGAAAATGCAAATACTACTAATAATTATGTACATGGCATTAAACAAGACCAGGCTAAAAAAAGTCACCACTTCTTTTCATTCACTTCTGCCATGTTTGCATTTTTCAGGTGAAATTTTTTTCCCCATGTCTCACCTGCTGTGAGGGTGGTGAAGGAGGTGATGGTGGTCTTGCGCTCACGCTGCTCCAGGGACAGCTCCCAAGGCGTGCGGTGCGGCCGCGCCTCCACTTTGACGCGGTAGTGCAGGCTGGGGGAAAGGTTACTGAGGCACAGCGAGTAGCAGCCGGCCTTGACTAACTCGCACTCCTCGTCGTTCAGTGAGACGATGTGCACGTAGTTGCTGTTGCTGGGCAGCCAGCTCAGGCAGGCTGAGGTGGCCGTCACGCGCTCCACCCTCAGCTGAGTGGGTGCCACGCACACGTCCCGGCCCACCAGCATCGAGCAGCGCAGCTGGTCTGAACCGCCCCGCTCCGTCAGACTCTGAATGGCCACACGGTACGCCTTCTGGCTCAGGTCCAGCCGCTCCAGGACTGCCTTGGTCTGAGCCCCAAAGGGCACGTTGAGCCTCAGCTCCTGGTCCACGTAGACATTGTAGCTCCACACGGCACCCCAGCCGGCCGGCACCAGGGGTGGCTCCCAGCCAATGATGGCGCTCTTGGCCAGTTGCTTGATCAGTGTGATTTTGCGTGGGTAAGGCACAGTGTCGGCCCCCACCTCCTCCAGATCCAAGTCTAGACCATTGGTGAGGGGGGCAGGGGGAAGTAGGGGGGCAACGGAGTTGGCCTTGGTGTTGTCAGTAGTGACGGCGGGGGCCGAGGCAGACGCCTCCGACCTCTCGGAGGCACTGTGGGCAAAGCGCAAGTGGTGCTGGTGCAGCCTCTCGCTGCCACTGTGGAAGCTGCTCTCCTGGAAGGAATTGTGCGAGAGGTCGCCGGCTTCGTGCAGGTGGGCGCTCATGACGTCGTCGTCCGAGACGCGCTCCACGAAGTTGGACGGGACCAAGCCTCGACGTCCATCCATCAGCTCGCCTTTGGGACGTAGCAGAGAGATAGCAAATTAGCCATGAGCAAGGTATACATTTGTTACAGCAAAAATGAAGAGTGAGTTCACCCTTGTTTATGTTATTAATCTGAAGACTTGTTTTTCAGTAATTACTATGAATTTATCATCTTCTACTATGAAGTTAGCAAAGGTAGGATCTAGAGAGGGCCCACCTGCAGGACTTTAAGACATTAATAACACCGGCCATTGAAGAACAGGGTAAAAGTGGGCTAATAAAGTATGCAGAGAAACAGATGGACTACAGTCTGTAATTGTAGAACTACAAAGTGCTCCTATATAGTAAGCAGAGGTGATAAATGGACAAGCATAGTTAGAAGGAGGTGTACTTAATGCACATTTGTACATAAGAAATAGAAAATAAGTTAAATCACCTTCATAGAAACCATCGTCATCCATGTCCCCATAGACGTAGATGTATTCTCCAGCTGTGAGGGGCAGCTCCACCTCTGGATTATCATTTGGACCCTCGTATGGGTTGTAGCTGCAAGAGAAGGTATTTTGTGAGAATAAATCAGCCAATTTCCACAGTTGAGATCAATTCCATTTCAATAGCACCAGTCAAAAACATAGCTTAAATGATTAAGACTTTCCAGTAACTCTTTATTTTAAGGTCTGCTTTGTAATGACTACCTACCTATTAGCAGGTAATTTATAATGCCCTAGTAAGGAGAAACATGCTAAGCCAGCTTAGAAATGTGTTTATATGATGTGTTAATACATCTTCTGTAAATGTGTTTTTAATGTTACTAATTCATTCAATCAGTTGTTAAGAAGTAGACCCTAAAGTGTTACAGACATTTCCCCTGTCTAGTTCCAGCACACAGATATTGTTCAAAAGAGACGTCTGAAGGGTACACGCAGGTTGTAGGTTTGCAGAAAGACGCGTACCTGTAACGGGCAATGAAGACCTGGAGTTTAGCAGCTCCTCGACTTACTGGTACTGGTGCAGGGGACACATCGATGTCTAGTTCTTCCACCTCACTGGCAGTGTCCACCTAACATACATATAGACAGGGTTAGGAATAATATGCTTCTCTAGATCAAAATCTTTTATCAAATTCACACAATATCAAAACAATACACCACAGGATTGTGCTACTTTGGGTGAAACTTGCAATACTAAAGTGTACCTTTTTATATTGTTCTGTAATTATTGACATTTTTTGTGTGTGTTAATTCCACTGGTAGATTAACATGATATCAACATCCATTGTTTTCTTTTCCCCTTACTGGTGAGTTCAAGGATTCTTTTGTGCTAATTTACTATCACTTAGAAAATCTGCAAAGCATTTTGACCAGGGACCCCCAAACCTTTCCATACGACTGTACACAGAATAACCCAGGCCCCTCCCATTTTACGCCTAATAAGATGCACTCAGGTGCCTAGTTTTGATCAACGACAGCTGATCGTAGTAGAGACTTTTTTTTTAAATTTCCATATACAGTTAGGTCAATAACATTTCCCCACCACACACAAACAGCGTTATCAGAGAGGAAATGATCTAAATATATCCGTACTCACAGCATGGGTAAAAAAGGACCTATGCGTATTTATAGCTCTTGGAAAAAAGCCCTTTTATGGATAATCACTTACAACTACTACAACCCTTTATAATCCAGTACAGCATAGGATTATCTCCCAGTTTTAACATGACATCCAGGTAAACGCTACACACGTATCTAGAAACAGCCACTCAAGCCTAAATCCAAACAACATGCATTATAAAAGAAAACAAAAAGATCAGGAAAAAAAGGATAACATTCACCAATAAATATGCATGTGGTACAACCCTAATTAAATTATTAAGTTCAGGTGTTTCAGCCACACCCATTGCTAACAGGTGTAAAAAATCAAGCGCATAGCCAGGTAACCTCCACAGACAAGCACTGGTGGTAGAATGAGTCACACTAAAGAGCTCAGACTTTAAATGTGGCACTGCCATAGGATGCCACCTCTGCCACACGTCACAGAGCCCCGACCTTAACCCCACTGAACACCTTTGAGATGAACTGGAATGTCGGTTGCTAGCCAGGCCTTCTCATTCAACATCAGTGCCTGACCTCACAAATGTTCCTTGCACACAAATGCGCACAAATCCCCATAGACACACTCCAAAATTTTGAGGGAAGCGGAGGCTGTTATAGAAATGGTCTGACTTCATACTAATGCCCATGGTTTTCGAAAGGCATGTCCCACATACTGTCCACACACTTTTGGCCATATAGTGTACGTCTAAATCAGCCAACCGCTTGAGACGAAAAACACCTGTGGATTTTTTTCAGATCTGAAGCAAGTTTTATAACATCTGGATATATAATATATTTTTTTTCTAAGCAAATAAATAATTTCTGATCAGATAAAGCAGATAAACATACATCCACACACACACACACACACACACACACACACACAAACTAACTAATACATTTATAGACAGAGAAACACATATATGGATGAGTAAGAGGGTCACTTCAGCTGTAGAAAGGTTAATGAGTTTTTTTCTAAATCCATCAAGTCAAACAAATCCACAAACCCATGTGACTCAGACGCGTTTCCAGAGTAATCTGTACAAGCAATCTGTTCCTATCAATACACAGCAGGGATGGACATGAACAAAGCAACTTACAAGTTCATAGAAAGTGCTAAAATATGGAGCAATCAGGAAAAGACACAGGTTACAAATGCAATTTACGAACACACTGGTTTAGTTTGTTTATATCCAATGTACGCACATTACGGCGATTCTTCACTTGCACAAAACATGCACTAAATCTACCTATTCATATGTGTCTGTATACTACTCTGTGCCTCTTTTATGGTTAAAATTTTTAATTAAAACAATTTGCAACCAGGAAAATGCCAAAATATTACACTGCTTTGCAGCAATTTACTCTGACACACTATATGGGAAAAGTCTACAGACTCTGTTGATAATAGTTTCTTACAATAACCAATTGTTTTTAATTTTTTATACAGTCCTAATCAGGCATGTCCCAATCCAAACCAACGAATGAGGTATCGGCTGTATAGGTGCCACAGAAGAACCTTTCAATATATGGTTCTTTGGAGAACCATTTTTGTAAACGAAATGTGGAAGTATAAACAACGTTTATTGTTGAAAAAACCCACATAATGTAAAGGTTCTAGGAAGAATCTTTAGTAAATTACACTACATTAACTCACACTATGTGAAGGTTCTTTAAACATTTAAAAGGTTATTCACACTCGCAAATCTCTTTTTCAAATATGCTTCTTTAAGGAACCAAAAGCGGATGTTCTATGGCATCGCTTGCCCTTTGCGGCACCTGTTTTTTATGAGTGTAGTCAGTTTTTACAAAGTAACAAGCAGCACCAATATCTGCTGTGTGTGTAATGTTATATGGGTTAAAGAGTTTAATTAGCCCCAGTGAAATGTGAGCATGTGGCTGTCACGCTTTGACTTTGACTGTAAGCTGCTACTAGAAACATGCAGAAAACTGCATTTTCACTCGCGAGTCATAACAGGGGTAAAAACAAAAGCTTCATGGAAAATGTTCTGGCATTAGCACTAACATCGTGTTCAAAAGAGAAAGTGCAGGATACTTTGCACATGAAATCATCAAGTATTCACAACGACTACTGTCTCACCTCATGTGTGGGGCTGGCCTTGCGTGGGCTGGCCGGGCGCGAGCCGACTGCTGATTTGGGGGAGAGGTGTGTGGTCTCAGATTTGGGTGGCGAGGGGCTGGACGTGGAGGTGGACTTCAAACTGAGGCTGGGCAGCTCGCGGTGCTTTGTGGCTGGGGAGCGCTCAGGGCGGGACAGGCCTGCCGCGTGAGGGGTGGAGCCGGCCCGAAGGACGGCAGCAACATCTGACCCACCGGAGCAGAGCGAAGAGAGAGAGAGGAAACCAAGGAGAGAGAAGTAGGGAGATGAGCAGAAGAAGGAAAGAGGAAAAGAAGGGAAAACAAAAGAGGATACAGTGTTGAACACAGCACATGCCACAGACTCATTACGGCCAGATACACTCACATGCCTTTGTGTGTATTAAAATGACACCCAAACAGAATATTGACAAATGACATCAGCAACAAAAATTTGTGTTAGTGCAAGTGTGACGTGTGGAAGTGAACATGGTTTATTAAAGGAACAGTTAAGTGCAAAATCTAATTCACACAATTTTTTGCCTACCCCAAATGGAGTCGATCAGATAAGACGTGTAGTTTGCAAATTTTGCTGCTTTAGTTGTAAACCAGATCTGCAAAGCTAACATTGCACTGGCAATCAACAGTCACCCAATTCACTTCTGTAAATACATCCCTAAAACTTCTGTCAACTCTCTCAAACTGCGTCCAGTGTTCAATAAGCTGGCACAGACTTTGGGACCAGTGTATGTGAGTGGTGCAGAGTGGGAGCGGAGGAGGGAGTGGAGCAGCGTGATTTTGCATAAAACGTGGAGCGGCTTTTTAGAAAGACGGATCGTCAGTGTTCTCTTTCTCAACTGAAATCGCTCCAAAACTGCTCTATCCCACAAGCCAGTCCTTTTATCCACCTATGTCCGCATGACAAGTGATGTGGCAGCTGACTGCTACAGTTCGCACACGACAGCCAATCACACATAGACCACAAAAAGGTATACAGATATTACACACAATGAATTTTGTGTCATCCCTCTTGCTTTATTAAAGATCATCTTAAAGCATTTGAATTTATTTTCCATCCACAGTGAATGGGCCATCGTTTCAAGCCTGTATCTATCAAAAAAAACGCGTGGTACAGAATGTTATATACGTTTTTCATTTAATAACGGCTGTAAGTTATGTAATTTGTGAAAATAAGTGAGAAGTGTCTTGTCCATGCGTTAATTGTGCACAACATGCAGGCATATGGACACCACAGATTATGTCTGCAATTTCTGTTGTTTCTATTTGTGAATCACTGTTAATCTTCATATATCAAACTGTTGATTTCCCCTACAGAGAACACACTTCCGCGCATCTAAATGCACAATTACTGTTCATTTGCCAAATTTAACATATTTGTAGAAAAAAATAAGACAAAATGCTGCCTGTGCAAGAGTTATGTACATATAGTTATATGTTAAATGTCATTTTAAGTTTGTTCTCTGTAAAAGATGAGTTAACTTATTTTCACTCAACAAAATGTGATTTGACAGTGGGGGGACAGTGGGTGTTTAAACATACGACTCAACAACAGAAACCGCTGTAATGTAATGTAATCTACTGATCTTTTGCCTGTGTGACATTGCTAACATCATGTTTCTGTTTTGTTCGCCATGGTAGCCTCCATAGCCCAAATGCTAAATTGAAGAAGCAAAATGTGGACACTCAATGTGTCTTGGCTGAGTGACCTAATCTAGGGTAAGAGGAAAACAGGTGGGTAGAAGTTTGAATTTGTTATTATATATTAAAAACGTCACAAACCCTAAGATGCACCAGTGTATATGTGCTAGCAAACATATAAATGGTTCATAAGGAATGAATTATGGGTATAATTCTACACAGTAGCGCTAATAAACATGGAAAAATTAGAGGACAATAATAAGGACTCTAATAATAATGATAAGGACCACCAAAACTGTCCCCATCAGACAAACAGTACTGAAAGCTTTCATATTTGAGAGAGAGGAGAAAATCAAGCTCCACTCTTGCTTCGGATCTGAAAAGTAGCTGTCAAGAAGGCGCTACTGAGAAAAGGAAATTTTGCATAACCAAACAAAGAAGCTGTTGGTGTTCTCAGAACAATGGACTCTGGACCACCCCAGAGTCCAGACTTCATCATCAAATGTGTTTGGGATTACTTGGATTGAACTTCTAAGACTGAACTTTGGAGGTGTGCGAAAATATCCCTGCAGATTTCTTTGAAAAACTGAAAGTGAGTCTCCTGTGAAGAATGGAAGCTGTAACAGTGTAAGAATGGTAAAGCGTGGACAGACTAAATACTGAAAAAAATAATATTACATTTAGTTGTTAATGCTTGTGTGTAATTTCTTGATAAATAAACGTTTATTACTTTTTTCCTGATGCTAAAAACAGGGATTTAACAGCTGTTTTGACTGGAAATTGAATAAGAGTTTATTTAATTAAGAATTTTGGTGCCAACAAGTGTCTCTAATAACTGTGTAGTTACATCTGAACAACATATGCAACAACATTGTAACTACTGATGATTTAGTCACTGTTAAAAATGAAATACAGAAGTACATCTTTTGTAATTACACACGTGTATCTTAATAGTTGGAACAGCCTATTCTCTCTATTCTCTTTAGCTAGCATTCTGTAATGTGACAGTAAAGAAGATGTCCCCTTATCTTAACACGTAACTTTTATGACATTAATTAAATATGTTGCATTTCCCCCAAAGCACCAAATTTAAATGATATGGATTTTAGCACTACACTACAGGCAAGTCCCTGTGTAGATGTTATAAAGGTACAGAATGGTATAAATAAATGTGATGTAATTAGGTTACCTTGTTACAACACAGTTATTCCACAGTAATTGTGTAAAACATAAATGTAATGTTATGTAAAACATACTTCCTTTAGCTGCTGGAAAAGACATCTGATCTGTAGTGTATCAAAAAGATACATTTGTGTAATTACATGAGGCAAAACTGAAGCTGAAACACGTGTAAATACATAGGCTGTACTTCTGTAATCCATCTGTAATGGTGACTAAATCGTAAGTAGTTACAGTGTTGTTGCATATGTTATTCATGTGTAATTACACAGTTATTAGAGACACAATATATAGAGGGACCAAAATTTTTAAAGAAAAAAATTATTACATCAGTATCAATCAATACCCAATGGTTCAGCATCAGTATTAGGAATAAAACTGACTTATCGCGTCACCTCTGCGAGAGACATGATGAGTGTGTGAGTGAGTGTGACTGACAGAATACAAGTGTATACAATAGAGCAGGGCTTAAATCTACAGATGGGCCCTGTGTACTGCAAGGGTGTGGGTAAAAGGTCGTGTTCAGCATGGTGTCTGACCCCTGGTGAGGTCAAAGTAAGGTGAGAGCAGACTGAAGTCAAAGAGACAAGAGCCTCTTCATGCATCTGACCCTATCTAAGCGAGCCGGAGGGCATCATTATTCCCTAAACCCGCTAGCTACCCTGCTATCCATTCATTTCTCCATCTTAGAGCACCCTCAAACTCTCCTCTCACTCTCCTGCTAAACCATTTGGTTTACTACACTCATAGTGAAAGAAGCATCTCTGAGTAAGACAGCTAATCCAGGCTCAATTCTCTACCATCTATATGACTGTATTCATTAAATATGAAAGATCAGTATTCTTACTGGGGCTGTCCCCTCTAAGTAAAGGTGGGAGATAAAGTGAAAGTATAAACATCATGATATTTGGAGAAAATTTATGATACACAATGTGTGTCATGATATTTAGCTTTTCTGGGGTTTTAATTAAATTTATTTTAGTGCAATATTTCTATTTATTTCCTGAGTTTAACACACTGGAAAAAAAAATAAAACAAAGTATGAAATGTGCCAGTTTTGCACATTTTATTTTATTTTTTCTCCTGTGTTCTAACTGGTCTGAAGTGATAAAATTTTGTACAGTTGTATCTGGTATCTAATTAGTTCTAATTAATAAGTATCTAACAGTACTTCTTTGATTTTTATACATATATTACATGTCATAGTTTTACTTTGGATTTTCTATTGTTTTGTTAAAATTCAATGGAATACAGATTTTAGACTCCTTCTCATATTTTTGCTCTGGAGAACAAAAAGACCAAATTTAAATGATATGGACATTAATGACTTAGATATGGAAATTTCTTGGGTGAGTGTACATTAGTGCATTTTTGACCAAATGCTCATAACAGTGCGGAATCTAAGAAGACCAGTCAAGAAGTTAATGAAGCATGAGTTGTAAAAGAATTAGAAAAGCATTGACTGTAAGTGTTGAAGCATTTCCACATGCAGATTGATGCTTCAGGAAGTGACAAACCATTCGGCTGTAAAAAGTAAAAACTAAACACCATTAAAGAAAATCACCATCCAACATGAAACAAATGCTTTTGAGCTGGATGAAGAAAGGCTTTCATAACTATTCAGCTGACCACACTGGCCAAAACCCATCAGTTCAAGATGCACTGTCAAAGGACCAATGGTGTTATGTGAGAATAAAATAACTATCCTCTGTGAGACCAGACCGTGGCAGAAGAATGACTATGGGATAAAAAAAAAATTTAAATCAATAAAACAACTAAACCCAAGTGCCTGGATGTGCACAGGGGACAAGAAGCAGACGGTACAAAGACAATGCCAACAAACAGCCAACCAACAAGATAATTCAGACTTTCTACTGTGTTAAACGAATAGTCTGGCAAAAAATCTAATGTGCATAATTTCCCCCCTTATCCCAAACACACTCGACAGGCCAAGACACATTTGCCATCTGATGTTTGCTTCCTAATTTTTCTACTGACGCTATGAGACTAATGTACTGGCTAACAATAGAAGTATCATCCAAGCAAGATAATTCACATAATGATTCATATTTTTATGTAATTTGAAAATGCCAGTTGCAGTGCCAAAATTTAATGAAAAATAAAACCACCAAAAATGATGCAGAATAAAAGTTTGGTACATTAAATCAAGAATGTTTTTACTTCTCATGCAAAGTTATTTTTTGGTAGACACTAGGTTTTGTTCTGACCCTGATCATATGTGTATATTGCATGCACATATGTATGTATAGTGAAGGAAAACAAGTATTCAGACACTTTTGTTTTTGTTATTTAACATACTTCCAGTGCATATACCCTCCTCAAATTTACACACGTCTTTTGACTTTGTATTAAACAAAGAGATGTTTAAAAGCAAAATTTATAGGGAAAAAAACATTTTCAGACACCAAAAATGAATTACATTAGCACTTTGTTGCAAAGCTATTGTTGGCAATTACAATATGGTAAGTAATCAGCTTTTTGCAGGTTTTTTTTATTGTGGTTTAATTTTGGCCTATTCCTCTTGACAAATTGTCTTCAATTCCCCAATGTTATGAGGGTCCCTCTGGTGCCTCAAAACCCATGAATTTTCAAAGGGATTTGGGTCAGCTGATTGGCTAAGTCTTGTGATCACCTTCACCTTTTTAGAACCAGTCTTGAGTTATTCGACCATATGTTTGGGGTCATTGTCTTGGCGAAATGTCCATTTTCTCCCCTTACTTGGCCGATGAGATTAAATTAAATTGTTTTCGTGCATGATGTGTAATTCCCCAGTACACTCTGCAGAGAAGCAGCAGATGTTTTCTCCAAACATGACAAGCTGAGTTACTGTTACAGAGTTTTATTATTTATAGTTTTGTCTGACCAGGGTACACTGTTGCGTCTAAAAAGCTCGTGTGCAAATTTTAAACGTGCGTCTCTGTGCTTCTATTTTAGCAGAGGAGTTTTGCATAGCGTGTAGGAACGGAGATGATTCATTCAATGAACTGCTGTTCATTGCTTATGGTTCTCTGTATAACTGTTTTTAGGTCTGCCTACAGGTGACTGCAGGCTTCTCTATTACCTTTCTTCTCATTAATCTGAGAGAAATCTTGCAGGGTAAACTGGTGCATGAATTTCAATGAACTTCAGTGAACTTTATAATTGCATATTATCAAACCTAATCATATTGACAGGGATGCTTAAGATCTTTGCTTAGGCTCTGTAGCTTTTTACATTCTAGCGTTATCTAATAATGCAGTACCTGAGAACTTTCGGAAGCTTCTTCACCTTCACCATGACTCCATAAAATCTTTCTCACCAATGGCAGCATCTTTTATAATAACAGCAGGTACAACTTGTACGAGAACACTTTTATGTTTATTATTGCAGCATTACTATGTAGAAGTTATTGACATTTTTTTAACCTTCATATATATGTACATCTTGAAATAGTGTCTGAATACTTTTTTCCCATATCAATTTCATTTCTTTGTTTATACTTATGAATGCCTACTTTTTACATATTTCATGCACTGGAAACTCATTAAATGACAAAAGTGTCTAAAAAAAAAAAGCCAATTCAGGCATTAAGTACACACTTCAAAAAGACGGTTCTTTAAGCGTTTTTCAGTAAAGAAAATGGTTCTATATAGAACCATAAACACTCATAGAACCCTTTGCATGATTAAAGGGTCCCTTGTATGGTGAAAGTGTTTTTTTCATATTGATGGAGAATTTTTGTATTTGTTTTATACAGAACCTTTCTGAAAAGCGTTCTATATAGCACCAAAAAGGGTTCTTCTACTGTGACAAGATTCTACTGTGACAAACGTTTCAAAATATACATATATACAACACATTCTCCATCAATATGAAGAAAGCTTTCGCAACGTAAAGAAACCATTAATCATTCAGAGGGTTCTTTGAGTGTTCATGGTCCGATATGGAACCATTTTCTTTACTATAGAACCATCTTTTTAAGAGTGTACACAAGTAATGAAAAGTTACACCCCACTAATTAGCATTTTGCAGACCCAAATCATGACATAGTTGTTAAGTAATCTCAAAACTCAAACATGTCCTGGCTGATCGTGTACTGCTGGGTTAAGGGGAAAATTGTGCACATTTGATTTTTTGCCAAATTATTCCTTTAAGGTCTCGTTCCATGGGACAGCCATGCAGGTATGGGGAGTCAAGCCCTCCTGTCAAGGGAAAAGCAGCTATAAACAGAGACCCAGAATACCCTGCTCAGTGACGTCACAGAGGGCCTCGTTACCCTCCAGACTCCAGAAGGCGATGTCATCCCATGAGGCACTAGTGCCTGCAGAGGAGAGGGGAGAGAAAAGAGGACAGAGAGAAGAGCGGAAGATGGGAAGGCAAGTAGAAGACAGCGAGAGGAGGACAGTCCGGCAGAATCCACACACAGCTCAAATAAGCACTCAAATAAGCTCTGTTTAGAAGATGGTTTCGCCAAAAAAAACTGATCCACACAATTCGCCCTCTACCTCAGATGTAGTCAATCAACCAAGACATGTTTGGTGTCTGAAGTTTGTTTCTTTAGTTTTGTACTAGAGCTACTAAAACTAATGTAGCTAACATGCTATGCATCATACGAACTGGATGCCTAAATAACACAGTTGTTTTTTGGTTTCTATTATTGTATGCCCAACAAGGCAGTGGGGCGATGCCCCACCACTTTTTGATGCATGTTTAGGAAAAAAACAACAAGAACAAAACTTTCCTCTCCTTAGCCGCTAACCCCACTGCAAAACTAAAGAAGTAAACTTCAGACACCAAACATGTCTTGGCTGATCAACTACTGAGGTAAGGGGAAAATTATGTTCATTTTGATTCTTGGCTGAACCATTGGTGTAAACATCATTTCAGTGGCCCTCATTAATCAAAGTTGCATCCGGTCAAATCTGATTTTAAAATGAGCATTTTGTTAAACATCAATTACTTCTTTGCCATGTCAATCTCACGTCTGGTAGATTTGACCGTAAAAGTTTAACAACAAAGACATTTTGTTGATTTCACATTTTATTCTTTCCAGTCGTCATCATTTTAGCACTGTAAAATTTGGTCAGTAGGGGGAGCACTCACTGCTTGAGCTCAGATCCCACCTATGAGCACAGTCATTGGGTCACAAACTGCTGAATGCTGTCGTTTTATTGGCTCTCCACTGAAACATCTGCATTAATTAGGAAGTGCTTTAAATGATATGTAAATGAGGTCCTGGTAGGCTGCCACTTGATTTCACGCACTGAAGCAGATTCATCATTTGTGTTCAAATCTCTGCTTGTTTTCATATCATATGAATGTTTCTTATCAGACGCAGAGTAGTTTGTTTGTCATTGAACACAGTCAAATCTGCACTGTTTTCACACATCTTTGATAAACAAGGGCCAAAATCACTGGAGAATCAGAAAGAGTGTGTACACAAAGAGAAAGATGACTGCCAAGATCATCACACAATGTCTAGCTTTCAAGTGAAATGCTTGATAAAGTACTGTAAGTAAATACAAGAGCTGAAGTGATGCTATGCAGCTATTGTAGAGGATGGAAGAGCACTACAGCAAGATGAGACTACAGGATATGAAGAAATCAGCAGGAAAGGATAAGCAGTACTCAGCCACGTAGGAGGGGGGCAGTCACTAGTCATTGTAAAATAATAATTAAAAAAAAAAAAGTAGTGATGGGCATTTCAAGTAATTGTGTAGCCGAGTGATCAAACATTAAAAAAATGAGCTATTGTTTACTTGAAAATTAAATTGCAGATTGCCAATAGCGGTTTGCGTGCTGTAAACAATGTGCGACAATGAGCCTTTTGGAGCAAGATATAATTATTGGAAAAAAAGTTTGTGTTCATGCCATCTCATCGTGTAAAGCCATTTAAAGTCGACACGAATCAAATATGAAATTATAATGCATTTTCTTTTCATATTGTGACGTACTCCAAGTGAACAGTACTTGTAACCGCCTCCGTCAAAAATCTGAAGACATTTTGTAGTGGGCGAAAAAGACATTATACTTTTATCAAACATCACGGCAAAACGAGAATTTTAATGTCTTTTAAATGATGATCTGATGACAGAGTTTTGTTAAAAGCTGTTACAATTTACCTGTCGGATGCAAGCCTTGTAGTACAGAGCCCCACTGGTGACATGCTGTATAAATAAAAATAATGCGTGGTCACGACTTAATTATCTTGTTCCCACGCCATGCTAAGTCATGGCCACAACTTATTAAGGCATGGAAACGAGATCCTAATGCGTGGCCACGACTTAGTAAGGCATGAACCCTTTCCCACACCTTACTAAGTCGTGACCGCAACTTAATTATCTCATTCACACGCCTTAATACGTCATGGCCACGCATTATTATCTCGTTCCCATGCGTTAATAAGGTGTGGGCACACATTATTTTTATTTATACGGGATGTCACCAGCAGGGCTCCGTACTGTAACAATGTTTTCACATATTAGGCAAAAATAACAATCTGTGATTTGCGTGTTAGAGAGCCCCTTCCTGCCAAAGTAGGCAGTTCCTTGCAACATCACAACCTCACAACCTATTAGATCCTCTACTGAAATCGAGGGTTGTTTAGCAACACTGCTGCATCACACATTCAGCTATAACTCAAATTTTGTAATTTTGGACTTTACTAGTAACATATCAAGTACTCCATTAACCGGCTACCCGTGCCATCCTTAGGTTAACAGTTGGTTACCGGTGTCTCCAGTCAGGCCGATGCCGTTGGGGAGCTGAGTGAGGCTGTGGCTCAGCAGGCCAGGAGCGGACAGGTCGATCTTGGAGGCCTGCTGTCGAAACTTCTCCAGCTCCTGAGAGAGCAGCCTGAACTGCTCGCTCTGAGTACGGCATTTCTCCTCCAACTCTCGTACCTTCGTCTACACACACAAACACAAGAGCAGGAACAGTTACACAGTCTGACAGTTAAGGGAGCACTACTCTCAACAGCCTCCCAAAATAGTTAAAATCCTATCGCACCATAATGCATTTGGGGAATTTTCTCTGGTCATCTTGTGCTAAGTGTGCTTCTAGCCTATCTGAGACTATGGGGTCATCTGGACCATTAGCAAACCAGAGCAACTGATGGTGAAACCTAAAAGTGACCTCAGACAGCTTTTGTGCGTTTAATATTGCAATGCAGTTTTTCTAAGAGTGCCTTTATAGCTCTGCCAATTATTCATAGCTTATGCAATTGCACAATCTATTTTATGTGCATATGCAGCTCCTTTCACAAAAAAGCTGTTGAAATGCATTGCACCATAAATCAGACCCCAATTGACCTTCATGGTGCAATGCCAATGTCAGCAGCTCTTTTACTAATATTGAAAAGAAACTGTCATTTCTGAGTCATCGCTAGGCAGGTTCAGTTTACTGAGTCAGGTGCTGTCACCCCAGACATGAAAATGTGTTAATATTTTACTAAAGTTATTCTTTTGAAAAATAAATGTGTAAACCTGAGGGGACAACTGTTTGCAAGGTGGTCCAAGTACAAAGGCTAGTTTAGACATGTTTTCAGTAGTGGTAAATAGATCAAAAATACTCAGGCAGATAATAGGCAGATAATAAATACAGCTGTGAGTGTAGATATCAGGCGGCACAGGGAGACTAGAGGCAGAAACAGACAGAGAGGAAGCGGGAAACGGAGAGAGGTTTGCAGCCATTTTGCCGTTCTGCTGAGTGTGTACTACAGGCCTCTAAGCCAGCACATCTCTCTCAGGCTGAGAAAAACTACGGCTAGTTTCACTTCCGGCACTGCGGTTCAGCTTCCTGGCAGACACTGAACAAACAGGGCCTCATCTCACACACACACATACATTTACACACAAAACAGATCAACTGCGCTAAAAAAGTACAGCCAGTTTCCTGTAAAATTTCACACCTAAATGCACGTTGCTTAAGCTAGTCATGGCAAACGTACGCAATGCAGAAAAACTCTCTCAGATGGCATCAGAACACAAGATATATTTGGGGAATGTACAGCAAAAGTAGTGCATTTGTATAGTAATACATTTCAAACCAGTGTCAATCTTTAAAATCAAGTTCTTCAGTGTTGTTTGATTAAATTGTTCAATATTCAAAAGCCAAAATGTATCTCTATGGGTAGAGTAATTGCCTGCAGCCTGCACTTTCAGGAAAAAGGTGGGGTGATCCCCTTCATGTCAGTGTGGGGGTAACCTCAAAGGTACATATTCAACACCTTTAGCTAGAGAACACACACTGACTGGACACTTCATTAAGTGCACCTCCTTGTTTCTACACTTGTCCATTTTATCAGCTCCACTTACCATATAGTTGCACTCTGTAGTTCTACAATTACAGACTGTAGTCCATCTGTTCCTCTGCATACTTTGTTAGCCCCCATTTTACCCTGTTCTTCAATGGCCAGGTTAGTGTGTGTTGTGCTGGCACGAGTGGATCAGACACAGCAGTGCTGCTGGAGTTTCTAAACATCTTAGTGTCACTGCTGGACTGAGAGTAATCCACCAACACAAACTGTGCAGCAGCAGATGAGCTATCATCTCTGATTTTACATATACAAGATGGACTGACAAGGTAGGAGTATCTAATAGAGTGGACAGTGAGTGGACACAGTGTTTAAAAACTCCAGCAGCACTGCTATGTCTGATCCACTCGCACCAGCACAACACACACTAACACACCACCACCACCACGTCAGTGTTACTGCAGTGCTGAGAATGATCCACCACACAAACAGTACCTGCTCTGTGGTGGTCCTGACCATTGAAGAACAGGGTGAAAGGGGGCAGATGGACTACAGTCTGTAACTGTAGAACTACAAAGTGCACATATATGGTAATCGGACCTGATATAATAGACAAAGACTGTAGATACAAAGAGGAGTACCTAATGAAGTGGCCGGTCAGTGTAACTGTACAATATTCTTTTCCAGATATACTTTAAGTTACCATGCTACTATATGTGAACGACTGGACCTTAAGCACCAAGTTGGGGGTACATTTACATTGTTTGATGAACTAAAATGTACCTGTACAGTACCCTTTTTTCAGTGCAGAAACTGTTCATCTTTAATCCTTATGTGCACTTATTCTTTAAATTGAAACTGTTTAGTACAAACAAAACACTGACACATACGTCTATACAACTGACTTTTCTGTGAACTAAAGTAGGGCCTTATTTATACATCAACTGGCTGATAACATAGCAAAATTTAGAGGATTCTTTTACATTATAACAAAGAAATATTTCTGATTTCAGCACATAAAGCAGCGCTTTGGACAAAATGAAAAATGTAACTCTCCACATCTGTTGTAAACACGCCTACTCGCCTCCTACAGCAGCGCCACAGTAGTCTCTAAAGTGAGATTTAAAGACTTTAAAGATTCGGAAAAACACCCTTCTGATGATGTACCTTGAAGGTGGAAGGAATCACCTTCTACACCTGCTTTAGGGCAGATACTTGAGGTCTTGAAATGTATTTTTGTTCTCTAGCTGCTAATGTTGGTGAACGCCAGACAGCTAACTTCAACGAATACTACACTTGTGTTTATTAGCCTCAATATCAGTAGCTATGCTCACAGTCAGGATTTCCTTATCGCTGTTGGGGGACTCCATGATGCTGGAACCCTGCATCAGAGAGCAGTGATGGATGAAAATGCAAAAGGAATATAAAATCAGAGAATACAATTGTCAAATTAATTAAGGATACAATGCTGCGCTACAGAATATTACACAGCATTGTAAATATCATATCAAAAGCTACTTAAAGGCTGGAATGCCCCTTCAATGGTTTCTGCTAACGTACCAGGTAAGAGCTAATTAAGAGCTAATTAAGAGAAACCACTGAAACCGCTAAGAATATCATGGACGCCCCGCTCTCACGCATTTCAATATTTATATTGTTTAAAACTCAGAATTTCAAAAGACTTGAAGTTTCTTGGTTTCACAGCTGACAATTGATGAACATATTTGTCAGTAATGCACTGTTTACTCAAAACTATTGAAACCTGTTTCATTTCTGTGCATTTAAAAAATGCTGATTTGGTGAGAACATTTAAATCTGTATCGGTCACAAAATATTTATACTGTCGAGAAGGTGGGCACTGTGGAGGGGGTGGGAGGGCATCAGGCAAATATGACTCTTTAGTTGGAATAGATGAATCGTTACTATCAATACCTGCATGCAGTCCAATGTGTTCTGCTCAGCAAACGCCAGGACAGAGCACAAAGCATAAGAGAAGAAGAGAAAGAGAAAAGGAGAAAGACCGGCTTCAGAACGCAGATGCATGCATGTCAAACGTCAACCACAGGGAAGAAGACTTGCGGTTAGTACACATCTTTTAAAAGAGGACCTGCAGAACAATAAATCTGTTCACCTACAGTATCTGAACCACTCCAGAACCCCTGTCAGATCACTGCAACATGGCATTACTATAGTGATTTCATTTCTCTTTCATTTTCCATCAAAAATGGTTCCTCTGAGCCATAGAAGAACCACTTCTGGTTACCTAAAGAACCTTTCAGTGGATGGTTCTTTAAAGAATCATTTTTATAAATAAGATACAGGAGGGTAAAGAACTGTCCTAAAGCTTAAATGAGGTTCTATAGCAGTGAAAGATTTTCCTAGAACCGTATGTCCACGTCTGGAACCATTTAGGAACCTTGTTCTTAAAAGTGTACAGAACTAGCAGAGTTCTCTGCTTGTTCTGTGAGGGATGTTACAAGTTCTATGTGAATTTGTAGACAGACAGGGCCCTCTGGAGGGGACAGATACTATGTTCACTGGCATTGTTGAGACAAAGATAGAGAGAGAGACAGAGAGACAGAGAGAGAGAAATAAAGAGAGAAGTGATGGATCAGCATTACTCTACCAGCTCTCTCAGCAATACAAGCTGGATCAACCCCTACAAACGACATAAACTTCATTTAGACAAAACAATACAAACACAATGTACAAAACACACAAAACACAGACACAGAATTCGCATAACATACACATCTGTACAGGCAAATACATTCATTTTTTTAAAATTAGGGATGCACTGATATGGAAATGTGCCAGTGCCAATTTCTGATATTTTTCATGTACGTATCTCTTGATGCTGATACATAAATGTTTATTAAAAAAATAGAAATAAAGTACTAGATCCACCTAAATGAAATCAATAAAACACAGATATTTTTGTGTTCTCCAGGCTAAAGAAGAAAAGGACCATCCAGATTGTTACCAGCCTAAAGTTCAAAATCCACACTTTAAATATTAGGTATTTAGATAATATACATTCAGCTCTTACTTTCAACAGGAACACATTAATTATTCCATTGATTATTTAATTTATTTATTATTTCATTAACACTTACTTAGATATTACATACTTCTTTGCATTACATCAGTCTTTTTCAAATTTGTTCTGATCCATGTCGTCAGCTGGACTAGTAGGATAGCCAGATCTATACTCTGATCCCCATTGATTGATTCAGCGAATGAATGAGTGTTTTTTATTCGCTGGAACTGATGTGGCACTGCATTAAAGTGGACTGTGTTTTCAGTATTTTGTATGTTTCTAGGATTAGGCAGCCGCACACAAGCCATATAAAAGGCCATAGTGACAGCTTGAATGCTTTGGAAGTGCCAGCAGTGCAGAAATGGAGTGGTTCCTGCTTCTGATAAATAAAAAAAAAAACTATAATAATAAAAATAAAAAAAATTGGATTTGCTATCATAGAAAAAAAACAAACGTCTGCAAAAGTTAGGATACTTCTTGTGAAATTACATGTTTCTGTTTATTTTCTAAGTGAAAATAAGTCAACTTAAATATGGCCATAATATAATAAAATGGTAATAAAAATAAGGTAATTTCTTGCTAATTTTAGTGCAAAATCTTTATTTCTTGGCTTTAGTTTAGGATTATATGTATATATATATGTGCCATAACCTTTGCGCATGTCATATTATATGTTTTATTTTTGTGAAATTCAGCCAATAAACAGTAATAATAACCACTGTGCATTAAAATGTGCAGAGGTGTGTCCTCTGTAGAAGAAGTGTTAACTTATTTTCACATAGAAAAGCAACCAAACATGTTCTTTGACCAGCGGCGTGCAAACTTTTGCATATGACTAAGCAATTCTGCAGCTACCTTGCATCCTGCTTGCGAGGACTCACTTGTCCACACAGCAAAAGACTGAAAACCACAGGCCAAAGCACATCGTTCTTCCAGAGTACAATAAATATGCTGTAAAATATCGTACACTTCAGTAAAATCTAAACGTCATTGCTGATACAATTTTTAAAGCACTCATCTGCTAATACCGATGTGATTCCGATATCATTGTGCATCCCTAATTTAAATATAAACTGGCAATACAAAATTGCTTTAAGTTGCACACAAACAATCACATACTTTAGGCTTTACAGCAGCGGCAATACTGACAGATGTTTCACGGAATACAACGAATCAATTATGCATCCAAACTGCATTAGCTGCAGGGGAAAGTCTTTTGTCTGTCTGAAGCACAGTGAGTGAGAGGGGAGGGAAGAGGCAATTAAATATTTATATCTCTCTCTACTGTCTCTGCTGTAAAGGGGAGGGTGCTTCATAATGAATAATGTTAGCTAGATACATTATTGAATACATCCAGCCTTGTTAATAATGAAGAGACTGTATCTGTTTAGGGAAGGTGGCAGACACTCACAGTAACAGACATATGAGACAGACAAACAGACAGACACCTACACAAAACACCACTAACCACCTAGGCAACTAAAAAACTGAGATCCGGTACACCTGTACACACCACACAGGCAAAAAAATAACAACAGATAACAAAAAGAGAATTGAATTTCTCACCTCCAGCATCTGCACAACCCCTTCATGTTCCCTCTTGGCAAATAACTGAGCCTGAAAGAAGAAAAAAGACAAAAAAATAAATCACAAAACCCAAGGAAACATACTAAATGATACATTTGAGTGTTTTGAGTATTTGCTGATGTAGTGATAAAAAATGAAAGCTGAGAGCTGAAGTTTCCCACTGCATTATTATTTTCTGCATCCCAAATCACTTACTAGCACACTATGCAAAAGTGCACTCATTAGTGTAGTAGGTAAAATATAGAAGTGTGTGGTTTGGGGCCCAGCATTATGCCAGGAACATACTTCATGTTAGCAAATAAACAGTTACGCAGACAGGGTTTCGCACATTGTTGCGTTCAAAAACGTGTCATCTCACAATTCATAATGCAACACAAGCATGAGCTGCATTCTAGGCATTACAAGGCATTACCACCAAGCAGATTCATACCACCAGTATGCTTTTCCCCGGTCAACAGTCATAGCAGACGAGCAGTTGAGAATGTTGGAATGACAGTAGCTCCCATTTGTATTCTCTCCCTTGAGAACTAAATGTTTTAACTGACCCCATAATGTAAGATTGCGCGGTGAGTTTGTACAGGTGTTTGCAATGCATTGGCTGAATGTTGTCATTTGTGTTCACATATTTGCATTGTGTATGTTTCTGGCCTTAGAATCCGCCAGAGAGACGCATCCAACAGTCCAGCAGCTCCAGTGGCTAATTATGGCTCTGCTGCGCGACTCCTTTGCTGCTTATTAAACATTTCCAAGTGAAAGTTTAAGGTGTTTCTTGATTAAGGATGCATTTACCGAGTTAAACTATTGGCTTTGCATTCGCCAGCTTCTTGCTTGAAATTATTTCTATGTTTATGGTACTTTAATGTAAGTGCAGCTCCATTTAAGGTGTGATAGAAACAGAAGCTGGTGAATAAGAGGCTTCAGTAGTATTTATGTATTTATTATTTATACACTTTGGCAGTTTTGGCAGCCGCTTTTATTAGTTTTTGTAAAAATCGCACACATTGGACTGAACTCTGGAAAGATGCAGGTTATACGGATAGAGTCCATCAATCAAGCTAATATTCTAATTGTAATTTTTCAGGAAGACTGCATCTGAAGTGTCCACATATCTTTTCATGTTTTTCGTGGTCATTTTAGTCTATTTTGCTTGGTCTTCGTCCACCTGCAGCAACGGGGATGAGAAAAGATACATCAGAGCACAGTCAGGGTTACAGCTTGCCTTCCAAAATGGTGTTTTTAATAATGTAATGGAATACTATGTATACTAATATCTCTCAGTGTGGGTAATGCGGAGTGTCGATACTGCCCCCTGGAGTGGTGAAGAGTCAGTCCCTCGCTCCTCATTTGATAGTGGAACAACAGTTATCAGTGTCGCTCAAACAGTTACCTGTTTAAGTGACACACCACAGCTACCAAACGCATCTAGCAGCGCTGCATAATTGCTTGAGATCGAGTAATTTCTGACTTCAAATGTAAACTTGTAAATGTAAATGTAATCTAAATGTAATCTAAATGTAAACAAATAACTTTGCTATCACTCACAGTCGAAGCTGGCGTCTCAGACTGACAGCAAGATAGTATATTGAATTATTTACTCTTCCTGATAAGGACCAAACACTAATGTGTCAATACTAAGTGCTTAAGAACGTAAACTGGAGTCGTAAGGACAACTGCTATTTTTATATTGATCAAAGCTTGCACTCCGTATGTAGCTGGAACGTTTTTAGCATTTATGCTAGCGCCAAAATACTGTTGTACTTCAAAGCAAATGTATAACTTTTAAAAAATAAACACTGTAACCTTTTGCCTGACAACAAATTATCTATTTTGCTTGTAAACATTGCTTATTGCCCCTTTAAGACAAGCTTCTAAAAGCAGTCTATCTAGCTGACACTACTCAAACACTGTACTACCCCACAGGAAGAAACACAGCTAACAGCATCACATCACAGAGAGTGTGAGTGAGTGCTGTTTCAGGATAGATTTGTTACAGAATTGGACTGGATTTGTTCTTTTTTCCATTTGATATCCAATCCAGCAATTTCTGCTAACATCAGCCTGAAACTTGGTATCAGATTGGTGCCATCTCTAGTCATAAACCACAAGTGATCAGAATCAAGGCCACTAGTTAGCCAACAGGTTGCAAAATGTCTCAGACTTCATTAGCAAAGGTTAGAGCTAAAGAACAATTAATCAAAGAATTCTGTCGATCAGCCGGGACATGTTTGGTGTCCTACGTTTGCTTTTTTAGTTTCAAACTGGAGCTACTTGGCTAATGTTGCTAACAAGAAACCCTGCATCAATTTCACTTTCAGTCAAAGTAGCCATTAAGTACAAGTTATTCCTTTTTCCGCATCAGGAAACATTTAGATAATTACATAGAAGCCTCAACAACTACCTCAACAAACTAATGTCAAATTATTTTAGTGTTTATTGTGTCCACTCTTTGCCTTTATTACAGCTTCCATTCCATTCAGGGGTATTTTTCCACACAAGGTTCAGTCTTGGAAGTAGTTTTTCCTGCTTCTCACGATCCCAGTAATTCCAAACACATTCAGTGATTTTGAGGTCTGGACAATGGGGTGGACAGACCATTGTTCTCAGAGCACCAGCAGCTTCTCTGTTTGATTTTTCTTTTTTTGTCTATTTCCTTTTCTCAGGAAGGGCTTCTTGGTATATACACATCCTTTCACACCCATAGCGCTGGGTTGTCTTCTCACAGTGGAAGAATGGACAGAAACACGCAGGAGTTTTTTCACATTTGAAGCTAGAGCGAAGCTTGATTTTCTTGCATCCATCATAGAACTCCTGTTAATCTGATGGGAACAGTTTGGTGGATTTTTGCATGATTGTTAGGGCTCCCATTTTCTATTGTATCTTATAATCATTTTTTTGAATTCCAGTTTTGGTTTCTTTTAAGTTTCCTCTTCCTTTTGCAAGTGGATTATCTTATATCTAATCTCCTCAGAAATATCTCCTTAAAAATGAATGGCTAACACTTGTCCATACAGAATAACTGGTATTTGGTCTTCTTGACTGCAAGTTAAATAAATAAAGGGTGGTCACTCACTCTGCACAGTACTGTCCACCAATTAGCATCATGCAAATTGAATGCCTAAATCATAAATTTGCCTGTAAGACAAACACTGTGTAACATAACTGTTATCTATGAAAATGTACAGCCAATTCACGTTTCAAGGCAGCAAACAAGTAACGTAAGGTTACACGGCACCAATTAGCATTTTGACTTCTATTTCATGAGCCTCACAGCTCTAGTGAAAAACTGAAGATATAAACTTCAGACACCACGTCTTGCCAGATTAACTACATTTGGGATAAAAGGGAAAACTGGGCAAATTGAGTTGAGTTCAGCATGGTGTAAGGTGTGGAATATGTTGCGACTGACCCGCTGAAGTCGTTTGATCTCGTCTTGCTTGAACTTGAGGATAGCCAACGCCTGCTCATGTTCCAGTTCCAGCTGCTGCCTGCGCTCTGCGACCTCTCGCATATGCTACATACACACAAACACAATAAGTTGAAGAAGGGGCTGAGATATGCAGTGGTCTGGTAGACTAAGGTTTTTACCATGTAAATCATTACCCATCAGTTTGACTCTACGGTGCCAATGATGGCAGGTTTACCTTCAGGACCTGCTCTAGGTTCTCCAGTTTGGCACGGAGTTTCTGGTTCTCCTCGAGAACTGAACTGTGTTGAGCGCTCACTGCAGAGAGCTCCTCCCTCAGCTCCTCATTCTCAACCTGAGACTGGAAAGAGGGAGAGAGGGAAAGAAAGAGCGAAAGAGTATGTTGTCTGTCAAAAAACAGACATCAGTCCTACAAAATCTTTAAATTGCTTTGCTTCTCAACCCACTCATGGAGGCCCATCAGACAGTTTATGTTTTGCTCAGATCAAGCTAGCCTGTATTCAGTGTTCTAAATGGCCTGGTTCAGGGATTCTGGGAGCTGGGATGGAGATAAAATCTGGAATGTCTTTTGGGCTCTGAAGACTGAAATCGGTTAGTTTAAAGGATCCTGCATTTTGTGTTTATGTTTTACCTTGAGTCTCACTTATGATATTTGTGTGGGTATTTTTTATGTACCAAAACTATCCATCCATCCATCCATCATCTAAACCGCTTATCCTTCTGGGTCGCGGTGGGGTGCTGGAGCCTATCCCAGCTGTCATTGGGCGGAAGGCAGGATACACCCTGGACAGGTCGCCAGTCCATCGCAGGGCAGACAGACAGACATACACACTCACACCTAGGGGCAATTTTAGCACATCCAATTGGCCTGACTGCATGTCTTTGGACTGTGGGAGGAAACCGGAGTACCCGGAGGAAACCCACGCAGACACGGCAAAAACAGGCAAACTCCACACAGAAATGACCCTGGTCACCCGGCCGGGAATCGAACCCAGGCCATTTTTGCTGTGAGGCGACAGCGCTACCCACTGTGCCACCGTGTCGCCTGTACCAAAACTAGTCACAATTCATTTGGAAGATAAATTTAAAAAGTTTTGTGCCTTTAAAAATGACTGGTTTACATGTAAATTATTTGCATATAAATATTTGCACATATTCAACATCTTGCTTGAACTTTTATCTTTTTCTTTGAGGTCCACTTAAAAGCTTTGTGTGGCTTTATGTCCCAAAAACAATCATAATAAATGTTTACATGACCATGTCCAAGCACTTTTTATCCCTTAATTAAACAGGCTGTTTGTTTTATTGTACCTTTAAGAGTGAAATGGACCATTCTACCAAATTAGTTGAAGCTTCCTTCCCACAGTTACAAAAAAACAATTTTTTTAATATTTATAACTATTTATTAATTGTGGTTAGATAGGTTGGTGAGGAGTCCTGTTCCACTGCTCTTTAGTAAGCATTAATGAAAGACCTGATGTCACTAGAAAGGCTTACCCTTATATTGAAAGGCCAATTTGAATGGTGTAAAAAATTTGGCACAAACCTTTAACAAAACTAGGTTTTGAATTTTAAACATGTGATAGAATGTCTAGTCCTCTATCTAGTCCTCCGGTCATCTGGGTACCTCCCGCTCCCATTATTGTTACTGTTATCATTACTTTTTATTCATTTTCTTTTTTCTCTTATGATACAAAAATGAAGTTTATAGCTGTATCTTGTTGTATAGATTGTTATACTTAAGGAAAAGTGTTAAAAAATTAAGAGTTTCCTTTTTTTCAATGTTGCTTTTAAAAAGATCTTTTGACTTCTTTTTAAGTCAGATTGAAAGATTTGTATTAATCAAGAGCTTAATTTTAGAATTAAAAAAGAGTTTTAGTCCATAGGTGGAGCCTTATTTTAGCCACACCCCTGCATTTTAGAGCAGGAAGTGACACTGCATGACCCTCATGGCCACATGGTGAGCAGACGGATCCCACTGTTTTGAAGTAAATGTGTCCCAAAGTCTAAAAATCAGTGTGTAACATTAAGAGTTTATGTGTGTTCAACTATTCAAAGCTGTGTTTGCTAGTCATGTACTGGCTAATGTTTTTGAGTTGTGCTCAAAAACAGCTAAAATTGTCACTACTGAAACATCTGTATACATTTTTGGTAGCATTATTACTGTTTTGGTAGTGACGTTTTTTTAAATAAAACAAAGATAATTAAGGTGTAGGGTCACTTAAAGCAAAATGATTTTTGTCTAAAAGTCAGGTTAAAGTTTGAAATGTGTTTCAAATCTGACTTTGAACCAGTTCGGTAGAATAATCCATATGTGTAAACAGCCTCTGTCCTGATTGGCTGCCCTGTACTGCACCTCATTCAAAAAGCAGTCCACGCTGGAACACTACTTATAACTTTAAGGCTAAGCAGCCCATTCACATTAAAGTTGGGCAGATACATGCAAACAGTTTTTGTGATTGCACAGAAAGAAATGCATTCAAAAGGGGTGTTTTTTGCAGCTTAGTTTCCATATATAGATCGTACAGATCTGGGAGTGAATGGTGTAGAAATCACTCATACATACAGAGCCCACACTGACCTGATCAAGCAGCTGAGCCTTCCTCCTGAGGAGTTCAGCCTCCTCTGTTAAGCGCGCATTTTTGCTGCGCTCATCTTCAAGCTGGCTCTCCTGCAGGCAGACACAGGAAACAATTCCACAATACCACTACTTTTCCAATTGGAAATTAAAGAATGAACTTCCCAATATTCTATCAGCTGTAATCAAATCACGGTTCCAATTTTACTTTGCTTACAAAGAAAGCGCCTCGCCTAATTCAGAAATAAGAGTGAACTCACCAAATCGAGACATCTTTTCTGCCTCTTCCTTACTTCATGCTCAAGGCCTTCACATTCTTTTCTCTTCTTGCTCAACTCACTTTCCTGTAAAAACATGAAAAGAAACAGAAGATCAGAACACTGGAGTAAAATGGACTTAAGGAAAAACACAAACGTAGCCATTTTATTTACAATCCAAAATGATCCAGTTTTTACATACAATGCTGATAATGATGAAATAGTTTTAAATCAAAATGAATCAATTTCTTTGGGTCCTATTTTGTCTTACAAATGTCCTGCATGTATCTCTTCACACTGCATGTTAGGGATACTTTACAGTCAAAAAGCACATAATAATGTCTCAGGTATCAGGCAACATATCTGTAACCATTTCCTGTAATAACTTTCTGAGGGAGCTTTTAGAGGCATTAAATGCTTCAGACGTCTGGTTCCCATCATTACCACTGTGAACAATTCTGACTCTGTACGTTTCTCTATACCAGAGTATTTCATCATTTCATTATCAAACCACTCTGACTTTGTTTACACTTCAAATTTGCATTTAAAATGAAATCTAATTTACATGCTAAGTTATGCATATATTTTGATGGATTAGTAGAATTCCCTTTGTAATATCGGCAAACACTGTCTGTTTAGGCTCACATGATGCAGTTTCAGCTTATTGAGTAAATGTTACGTATTTTAAGATATTCACATTTTTTGTTTTGTTGCATAAAACATTGACGTCTGGTTCCATCTTTACTTCAATAAAAAGAGTTTGAGATTAGTATCTGAATATGCATACATTAATCTTATCCAACAGTATATTATTATTTTTCTTCCCTATTCTTGTCGCCCTAATCATGTGGGGTACCATAGCAATGACCTAGCACCCTCTTAGCAACCACCTGGGATACCAAAGCAACCTTCTAGAAAAAGAAGACAAAAAAACAGACAAAAAAAAGAAGTTTTAAAAAGCTCTGAAAACAGGAAACATGTTTTTGAAGAAAAATGCCTGGCTATTTCTTCAAGACACACCACTAAAGCTACTTGCTGTATATTTTTTGTTTATAGAAGACCTGAAATAACACCAAGGCATTAGTAGCTCACTCTGAGAAGCAAACAGGGACTGTAAAATCTCTTCAGATGATTGAGAGGCACAATGAAAGGCAAGCGGGTGGGCAAATAATGAGAATAATTCTCTGTAAAGTGGTCTATCGCTTTAATTTTCATATTGACCCCTGACACGGGCACTCGGAGGAATTACAAAGCTTAGCACCCTTTAATTACACTAAATGCAGCTTACACAGAGGACCAACAAAAGGCAAAAATCAGATTATTGGCTAACAGTGGCAGCGGAAAGACCATCAGGGCTGACCGGGGCTGGAGTGTGGACGCCGGATGGACATAGGAGCTAATTGCTCACAGCGGTTAGATTAGCGCTTGGCCTCTGTGTCAGTGTTTCGCAGCAGGAACAGTACTGATGATTAAAAAGCGTTAGAGAGCCACCTGCAATGCAGGACAGCATGTGGCTGCGAGTGTAGCTAGAGGCAGAACGAGCAATGCCATAGGCTGGAAACAGGGTTATTACTTTGAGTTTCAGTTAATTTTCAGCTACTTTTAAGAGTTTATTAATAATTTTAGGGTTTCTTTTAATTCTAAAATTGAAGAGTTTGAGTTTAGTAGCTGATTATGCTACACTAACCTTTTCCAATGGTATATAATTTTTTTTGCCCTAATTTTGTCACCCTAATCATGGGAGGTACCATAGCAATGACCTAGCACCCTCCTAGCAACCACCTGGGATACCATAGCAACCTTCTAGAATATCATAGTAACTAAATTAGGACGGTCCAGCAGTGGTTTGGTCTCCCAATTACAAAGTTTTTGTTGAAGTATCTTGCATGACAAAAACTAAAGGTCTTCATTAAACTACTGCTCTATAAATTTCTCCCACCAGAAACTGAAGGTGCTCCTCTTGTGTCGGCTCTTCCTGGTGGCTGTTGTGAGCGCTTTGATCTGGCGTCACTTGTGTTCTAGACTCCTCCTCCTCCTCTCCAGGAGTCTTCTCCCCTTTAACAGGGGCCTCATCTAATACTGGGCATGGGGTTTCAGACACAACCTGATAGGAGAAAAATCACAGGATTTCCAGTCAAAACTGCTTTAAGTACAAATTATTCATTTTTAAACAAAAATGTCCACCCTTTGCCTTCATTACAATTTCCATCAGCAGGAATATTTTTCCACAATTCCAAAAAGTTGGTTGAATTTTCTCATTTTCCAGATCCTAGTAATCCCCAACACATTAAATGATGCTGAGGTCTGGACTCTGGGGTGGTCAGTCCATTGTTCTGAGAACACCAGCAGTTTCTTTGTTTGATTGTCTTCTAACAGTGGCAGGATGAACAGAAACAGAAGCAAAAGCGAAGCTTAATTTATCTCAAAAATGAAAGTTTTAAATGCTGTTTAGCTAATGTTTATAATTTAATAGTCTACCAGGGTTTGCACGGTTGTTGGAAACTGGACTTCAACGACATGATGAGTGGTCCCACTTTTGCACAGGTCTGTAAATGTAACATTTCATGTACTTTTGTGGTAAAATTCAACTTAAGGAATAAAGAATGGCATTTTCTGTGTATCTATCAGACATCTATGGCGACTACTTTAAAACTGGGCCACAGACATTTGGTTTTAGGCCATCTAGTCCCTGAAGACACTAGGAGAACCGCACTAGCAGTAGGCACTGAACAGATGACGCTGGTGTTCTCTCTGAGAGTTAAAAAGTCAAGCCTTCACAGCTAATTTTAGCGGCTACACCTACTTATACCCTCAGTGGAACTGTGCCACTGTGGCCAAGGCCATGACCTGGTAACAGGATAAAACGGCCAGCACGTGTTAGCCGTTAGCACTGTTAGCATAATTAGTAGTTGCTGAAGTCACATTACCATTAGGAGTCCACACTTTCACTTGCTTGCACACAAGAAAGTCTTATACTGTTAGAAAGAAACGCTAAATTAAGGAGATGAGCAAAGCTACGATCATTTAGCATCTTGTTTGAGAGAACTAGCTGCCACCAGGGAAGTAGCGCTTGAGACAAATAAGTGTTTCCGGGTCGAGAGAAGCCGTTTACCCTGTCAGTCAATTAGCATGAAGGACATTTGTACAACATGCTTCATGACTGGATATGTGCATAAATCTAAAATTAAATTAGAAAAAAATAAGCAAATAATCCTTCATATGCTAACCAAACAGAAACTCTGAGCTAATTCCACCTTTTATTCAGTAAAAGAAGAAAGATGTACTTTTAAAAAGCCAGGTTAACTCATGGTGAATGATTATAACACTACAGTCTTCATCTCCTCAACTGCTATCCTGCTTAGTTAGCAACACTGTCAATAGGTGCTATATTCAAAGATGTCTGTGTGGGTTCATAATTTAGCTACTTGCCACACAATGCTAACCATGCTAGTGAACTGCACAAAAGCAGTTCAATGTGGAATTCTCTTCTAAAGCAGCGTTACAGCACGTGCACATCCCCCGTTAGCCATAGTAAACTCATTTTACCACGATGTATCAGCATGTGGAAACATGTGCTACCATGTTTTTTATCACTATATAAAAGATGCACAAGGCTTCCTTTCTTGTTGGACGCACTGTGCAAGCTCATCCAGAAAGTGTTCAAATTGGTAAGCTCTTAATATATGTTTTTTTTTCTTTAAAGCACATTTGAAGTGTTGTTTTTTTTTGTTCAAATTGGCACGTTTTGATAGAAAGTAAATAAAAATCAGTTTTTTTTTGGCTTTGTCATGTTCTTTTTAAATGAGTGCAACAATACCATTCAGAAATCGTGCTATTAATTGAAAAACAGTACATCAACCAGCAGAAATTGTCAGCCTGAAAGGGTTAAAAGGAACTCAGAGGGCTAAGAGATCTCAAGGGTTAAGGATATGCTGATTAAAGACTGTCAGTGTTGAGGCACGTGTGTTTCTCGGCTCTGTTCGCTTGTGATCCTAGTGTGACCTCACCCTACCAGCTTCAGTAATCACTGTAACTGAGTATCTCAGAGGTTAAAGGGGAATTCCACCATTTTTTTTAGCATAGAAAAATTTTATAATGTAAATAAAGTCATTCAGAGTGATTAGAGGTGAAATACTCCCTTCTAGCCAAACTCAGAGAGTGAGAATGGTTCACAATTGTGGGGATAGGAACCAGACGTGCCTCTCATCTCATCACCACTAGTGAAAAAAAGAAATGATCAGTTTGAATGACTTTGTTTACATCTCAACCACTGAATTCCCTTTTAGAACAGATGCACACATGGGACAGTACAGCAGACAAAGATACCTATGCTTGTCAGATGGCATATGATAACATGAGGCAGAAAATGAGCATCTGAACAGCACAAAAAACTACAATCAGTACATAAGTAATCACTTAGGGCCCCCAAGCCACCAAGGGGTCCCAAGTATACTTTGAAAGTGTATCTTTTGATATGTAGTTTTAAAAAGCGCATGGAGGTTTCCTTAGTTTTTCGCAATCAATATCAATTTAGTATTTATTCTTTTGCTATTTTTGCTTACAAAAGAATATGACTGGGGAGGCAGGACTGTGTCAAGGTGACCCCCAAGCTGGATGTCACTTACAGTGGCCCTGATTTAATCACTTTTCACACACCTTTACTTACAAAACCCATACACTAATGTTCTTTGTCTACTGTAATGCCATTACACTGACATGCAACTGACGTTCTCTGCACAAAAGAACTTCTGCTAAAGTCATAATGCATAAGCTTTGGTAACAGCTTCCTGTAGACGTGTCACTTTATTTGCAATGTTTATACATGATGCTTCACTGAGCAGTCATTTGTGACTAAAAGTATGGCACTTACCTTACTAAAACAGCACCTCTTGGTGCAGGTAAGTCTCTATATGTTACATAAGCAGTAGCTCATGTTGGCCTGTGCTCCCATGCTCTGCTATATCCACATCCACAGTACATGCATATACAAAAACTGAATCCTGTATAGGCATCCATGGCTAAAAGTTTTGGACATCGAGCCAATACCCTGATAGTTAAAGCTATGCCACTTTTAGGCCTCATGTGTAACTAAAGCTGTAAAGCATTACTGTTTTAGCTAAGACTTGAGCAACTTAACGTTCTAGCACTACCTGGATGATCTAGACATAAACACTGCATGCTGCTAAAGCTAAGCTCAAGGAACAGGAGGCTTACAGCTAAAACCACTGCACATCTGATTCTTTAACTGCTACCTAGAGCTAATGCGTCTGGTCTAATACAAAAGTAAGGCTACAACATTATGCTAAATCTGTAGCTAGTGCAGCACTAAGGCCGGCAGAATCAGATGCAGTAGGCCCTGTTTGCCATAAGCACATTGCAGTAATCCCTGTGGACTACTGAAACGGGTAACTGGATCACTTCTTTTAAAAGCATCTTAATGGATTGGGCCAGCCGCTGCGTTTCTTTCTTTTTTTTTTTTTTAAATACATATCGATGCATTGACATTGAGAGCCACACGTCTCTCTCGCGCGCAATCTAAATTCCCCACATCTGGCCAAGCCCGAAATCTCTGACAGTTACATAGCAGAGATTTTGACAGTCATTATTCAAGCTAGGCCTTGACTGACTCTTTGCTTGCTGGTTAACTTTCCTCTGGAAATGTGTCAAGCTAGACAAATGAGGAAATTTCAAGTTCATGCACTCTAAAAAAAAATTTGTTTGAAGGTATATAACCTGCAGGGAAATCCACTTAGAAAGGAGGAGCTGGCTGCACAGTAATCATACACAGCCACACGTCCATTAATGCACAGGACAGAGGAGGACAGGGAAGTGTCATAATCTGCACTAGCCGAACAGATGCACACGCAGACAATCCTCATCTGCATGGAGCGTTTTGCGGGTTACATCACTGGACAGACAAAACTAGCTAACAGAATGCTAGCTGCGGACAGTAAGCTAGCTCAAACTACATGCAAGTTATTACAGACTTGCATGCCGCATTCAAGCCGCTGGCACTGACAGTATCACAGACACAAGCACACCCACACCTACCCCTTTCCTGGGAGCTGAGGGGAAGTGAGGCGTCCCCCAAGGCCCTGCGTGTCAAAGCTGAGAGAGCTGCTCAAGTCTTTGGTTTGGTCAGGGTTGGAGTGTTACCTACCATCTAAAACCCTCTCACCGCTACCACGGCAACAGCCAGGGGATTACTGGACCATACCATTCTGTGGGCAGAGGGGATTAAAGTACACACAACATGGCGCCTTTCTGTGCGAGCATGACCGTGTGTGTGTGACAAATGACCAGATTACCAGTGCTGTCGTTCTTGTGCAGGCTTTAGAGCAACAGTAGGGAAATATCAGAGTGAAACTTAAAGTTGTCAGCAAAACTGGATGCTTTTCTTTTTTTTAATTGAAAAACACTCCTGACAGGATTCGTATTTATGGGAGCTAAAGAACATTAAGACAAGCTGTGTGTACTGCTATAATGAATCTGTGCATATTTTCAGTGCCCCCAAAAGTATTTGGACACTTTAACCAATGCAAAGCTTTAATGAAGTTCGTTAGGTTACCTGATAAAATGTTTTAAATGTTTAGCCTTGATGGCACTTCAATATGTGCCTGAATGCAATGTTCAATGTACTAAGGCTGCAGCTTATCACTGCATGTAGCACCGCCCACTAACTGCTCACTCATGATGCGCAGGGTAAAGAGGCAGTGTCAACAAGTTCCAGACAAAACAAAAAATGAAAGTCATTGTTAGTAAATGAAGGGCTTTCCCACCAAAATATTCCACAGGGGTGTTATTCTATTCCGTCTGGAATTTTTTTTATTTTTTTGTAAAACGTTAACACGGATGGCACATGCATATCAGGGCTGCATCACGGCACAATTTGCTCTGGGTCCTGTAAAGCAGAGGTTCTCAACCTCTTCCACCTCAAGGCCCACCTGTTTATCACTAGAAAACTTGAAGGCCCACAAGAAAACAAAACACAAAATTTTTGGTTATGGATTTCAGCATTTATGGAAAATTTTCAACACAGTGATATGTGGGGGTCTACTCTTGCAATATGTGATGTGTATCAGTGAACATGAAATATCAGCAGAA